TCAAATCCATTACTACAACATTCCAATTAGTCGTTTGTGGTCTAAATACTGGAAACGACATATGTTGGCTAACCTCATCGTTGTCATGGTGATGGTGTCATACTTTAGCTCAGTCCTCCTCACGGTTTTTCATGCGCGCGTCAATGGAACTGGCGCGAGGAACAAAATGTACACAGTCAGAAACTGTACATTGTTTTAGTGAGGGTCTATTAGGAAATTAATGCATCTCAAGGCTCTCCATTACATGAAGTGTGAAATTAAGCCTGAAATTGAATGTTATACTTAATTCAGTTTAGGCCGAAAAGCCTTGCCAAGTAATGACTTTAATGTCCTATATGTTGAAGTTAATAACAAAGAGAAATTTCCTTTTAAAGTAATCGGCATATTTGTTTACATTTTTCAGACAAAGCCAATCAGAATGCCTAAATACTTCAGTTTCCTTCCTTTGAAATTTGCATGCAGGATTAGGGGGGGGAGGGAGAGTCAGGGTTGGTATTTGTATTTTGTAGCCCCTCTTTCAGAATTATAAGTTTGTTTGTAAAACCAGCTAAACCACACGAAATTATAAAACAATGCTCTTCACTGACTGAAGGTAGACCAGAGCCGTAGCTAGACCGCTTAATTGGAGGGGATGTATATTCATATATTCATGTTTATCTAGCGCAGGAACAATAGCGTACAAAAGAAATCAGTCGGACATAAGATGAATTTATGAATATACACCCCCCCCCCAATTAAGCTTCTAGCTACGGCCCTGAGATAGACCATCTGTACATCCAAACAAAAATGAGAAAGGAAACCGTGACAAGTTGTTCTGGAGTGTAGTCTTACCCCTAATAAAACCAATATCACCGCAACTATTCAGTCCATTCTTATTCTTGCGACTAAATTTCTTCACTTTTTTTTCTCGAGTAATAATGTCGTCAAAAGTTGACCTTCCTGTTACTGCCGGCATTCCAATTTGAAGTGCTCCTCAAGTATTAATTCAATAAATTAACTCGCGCTGACCAATTCATTTGATATCAAAATTTTCAACTTCCTGTGCAAACAGACAAGTGAAATTTCGTTTCAAATCAAACTGACCAATAGAAAGCACGCAAGAAGTAAAAATATTTCTCGTTCTGAAACACATATATTTCAATTTTAGCGGAACTGCCGAAATTCAAAGTTCTTAGTTACGATTACTGATTGTGAACTTTTCTTCCTTGAAAATAGTTTAAATTTGCTTTAAAGCTGATGTTATAAACGTCCATAATTAAGTACATAAAAAAGAAGAACATTTATTGCAACAACAACAAAATATAATGCAGAACATAATGTTAACAATAACTCTCAGAAATACTGTACCGGATGTTCAAAATTCGTAAATTTATCCTAATCGGTAAATATTTGGTAGACGATTCTGATTGGTCTATTGTTTAATGTATTGAATCAAAATGTGAATCAACGTTTGAGGTCACTTCAATTGAAATCGCCGTAGGTACCATTACATTGAACATTCTACTATCACGGCGGAAACAATCCACTCTTCAGTGTAATCGTTTATAGTTTCCCTTATCCCTAACGACCTTTCATAATGTTAGAAGAAATTATAGGGATGATTTTGACAGTGTTTTCACTTTTCACGAACGAAACGCCGCGGGTGACTTTCCGAGAACAACCTCGTCAGACGGGCGACGACTCAAGTGAAAGCCGATCGACGATCAAAGATAAATGGCCGCCATATATCGACAAAGAATACGAGAACTTCAATAATGATGACGAATTGACTTCGCCATTGCCCGAATCAACCAGAGAAAGATCAACAGACTATCGAAGGCTTGGTGATGTCTCATCTGAGCTTGTGAGTTATCGGGAGTCCATTTGCAAGAGCCTTTGGACAAGTCTAAGCGTAACAATCGCCATTGTACCCATAACAGCTTTTATGATGGCGTTTCTATATTTGGACTCAAAGACAACTAATCTTTGCATAGAATGGCAATATCACAACCACAGTTTACCCTTGTCTGTAAAACGACTTCGAGTGATTGGCGACAGCGTGGAAGCAATAATAATAAACCTTTGGTTTCCCCTGACAGCTGCGGTTCTGTTCAGCTGGAAAGTTTTTAAAATGAAGTACTTTTCTACCTTTTATGTTGGTCTTATTTTTGGATTAGCAGCAGTTATTTATTACCTATTGTTACTGGCATTTGGAGCCTATGGTACACATGTATATTATAGATATCCTTTAAATGTTCTTTTCTTTACTGGAATAATCACTGGCAGTATTATCGTATTACGCAATATAAGAGCTAGCGAGCAGACTGTGTCTTATTCTAACTTTCATATATTGGCTCTTGTATCGTCAGAATTACTCGTGTGTTCTGTACTGTCATTTATTTACAGATACGGCACAATACCTTTCTTTATAAGTGTGAAAAAAGAGCAATATAAGTTCATGATCGCTGCTATGGCTCCTGCGTTGGCCATCATTCCTGCAGTAATCCTGAAGCATATTGCGTCCAGGAAAAGTTCCGAGATAATACATCCCGGTCGGAGTTTTGTCCTGGTATTCTTCATTCGAGGTGGCGTGATTTACGTATACCGTACCATGCAAGCGAACTTTAAAAACATTTGGCTGTTCGTTGGACTTTCATTATTTTCCGGCGTTTTGAACTTTTTGAAGAAAGCAACCTATCGCTTAAGAATGAGATTGTGGAGTTACATCATCTCACGGTTGAAGCGAACTGTTTGCTGTCAAAAACTTCACGAAATGCCTCGTGACACACCACACTACAGAAGGTTAAGAGCGGATTTAGAAATCCAAGACATGCTTTTCGAGTACATTTCACTAGTTCTGAGTCAAGGGATCTTGGTTTTGTACATTGTAGAAAGTTTTAGACTTTCTGTTTCTTCCATCATTTACGAGACTTTGAGGAACATCGCTATTGGCATTGGAATCGACTTCTTTTTCAATGTCTTATCCAATTTTGTTCAAATTCATTACTACAACATTCCAATCAGTCGTGTGTGGTCAAAGTACTGGAAACGACATATGTTGGCTAACCTTATCGTTGTCATGGTGATGGTGTCTTACTTTAGCTCAGTCCTCCTCACGGTTTTTCGAGCGCGCGTCAATAGGATTGGCGCGAGTAACAAAATGTACACCGTCAGAAACTGTACGTTGTTTTGGTGAGGGTTTATTAAAAAATTAAGATATCTCAAGGCTCTCCATTACGTGAAGTATCTACCTCCTCCGCAGGCGCTGGGAGCATTTCGAGCGATTTAAATTTCTACCCGCAAAATATCACCGCCCGCCATATTTGCCCGAAAAGAGCCTGCGAAGGAGGTAGGTGAAGTATGAAATGAAGCCTGAAAGTCCCTGACTGATGCCGCAAAAAAGCGTAGCATGGCAATAACTTCAATGTTCTTATATTGAAGATAATTATGAGAAAGATTTTCATATTAAAAGGTTAATCACTGTGCAAAAATGTTTGTACAAAATATTAGTACTCTTATATCGTATGAAAACAGAACACAGTTTCCCTACTTTAAAATTTACATACAGTTTCTATAATATAAATTTCCAATTTTCTTGATGGACGAATGTGAGAAACTATTTTGAAAAGTGAACTGGTATATGAAAATGACAATAACGCCTGTATTCTGAAAGATCGCGCGCATTCAAACTCGTTGAGTTACAGATCTAATTTTCCTGACAACGATTCTCCTGATAAGGTATTTCCAGTCGCAAGTTTGATTTTCATTGTTTTACTTTAAACATTTTTACTGGTTAGTTAAAAAGGATGTTTATGTTGATCAGAAAAAAACAAGATATTTATGTCACCTTCATTGTGTGTTTGTGAGCTTTTCGCCCGAATTCAGGCGTAGATATGTCTAGGGTCGGGTGGAGTGAGGTTTGTATTTGTTACTCTCCTTTCAGGATAATTAGTTGATCTTCCTGTTTGTCTTTGACTTTCCTGTTAAGCCCTGCCATACGTTGGTATTTGATGATGTTGGTCTGTGTAAATATATTCTCACCTTAAACAAAACCAATATCACGGCAATTATCCTTATTCCTTCCGACTAAATTCCCCCGTTTCTTTCTCCAGCGATGCTTTTAGTTAATACTATAACATACTGCGGAAACAATGTTGTGAACGGTCGACCTTCCTGTTGGGGGTCATGCACATAACATTGAATATTCTAGCCCCGTTCACACTACACTCAATTCAGTTATTAGCTTGCACGGCACGGCTGAAATTGGTACCCGTGTCTATTTTTATCAGTGTTCAGGCTACCAATACAAAGGCCGAGTGTCGATGAAATTGGTACGTGACCACTTTAAGTCTGGTGTGCCAAAAATAATTGTAGTGTAAACGGGCTTAATGTTCATAGAGATTAAATAGCGGAACTTCTATTATCACGGCGGAAGAGAAACAATTCTTTTTAAGTGTCATCGTTTCCTTAATGATATTGCATAATGCTGGAAGAAATTATAGGGATGATTTTGTCAGTGTTTTCACTTTTCACAAGCGAAACGCCGCGTGTGTCTTTCCGAGAACAGCCTCGTCAAACAAACGGAGACGACAGTGAAAGCCGTCCGGTAGTCGAAGATAAATGGCTGCCATATATTAACAAAGAATACGAGAACTTCAATAATGTCGACGTATTGACTTCCTCCTTGCCTGAATTAACTAGAGAAAGATCAACAGACTATCGAAGGTTTGGTGATGTCTCATCTGAGCTTGTGAGTTATCGGAAGTCCATTTGCAAAAGCCTTTGGACAAGTCTAAGTATAACCATCGCTATTATGCCCATGACAGCTTTCATGCTGGCGTTTTTATATCTGGATTTGAAGACAACTGATCTTTGCATGGAATGGGAATATCACAACCACAGTTTACCGTTGTCTGTAAAACGACTTCGAGTGCTTGGCGACAGTGTGGAAGCAATAATAATAAACCTTTGGTTTCCCCTGACAACCGCTGTGCTGTTCAGCTGGAACGTTTTTAAAATGAAGTACTTTTCTACTTTTTATATCTCTGTTATTTTTGGATTAACGACAGTTATCTATTACATAATTTTACTGCTTTTGGGGGTCTACGGCAGGCATATGTATTATAGATACCCTGTAAATGTACTTGATTTCACTGGAGTAATCATTTGTAGTATTGTGGTATTACGCAATATTCGCTCTGGTGAGCAGACCACATCTTATTCTAATTTCCATATATTGTCTTTGGTATCGTCAGAATTTCTCCTGGGTTCTCTACTGGCATACGTTTACAGATACGGCATAGTTCCTTTCTTCAATGGTGTAAAAGAAGAACAATATAAATTTACGATCGCTGCTATGGCGCCTGTGTCGGTCATCATTCCTGCAGTAATTCTGAAGCACATCGCGTTGAGGCGGAGTTCCGAGGTAGTACATCCTGGTCGGAGTTTTGTGCTGGTGTACTTTATCCGAGGTGGAGTAATTTACTTATACCGTACCATGCAAGCGGACTTCACAAACATTTGGCTGTTCGTTGGACTTTCATTATTTTCCGGCGTTTTTAACTTTTTGAAGAAAGCAACCTATCGCGTAAGAATGAGATTGTGGAGTTACATCATCTCACGGTTGAAGCGAACTGTTTGCTGTCAAAGACTTCACGAAATGCCTCGTGACACACCACACTACAGAAGGTTAAGAGCGGATTTAGAAATTCAAAACATGCTTTTTGAGTACATTACACTAGTTCTAAGTCAAGGGATCTTGGTCTTGTACATTGTAGAAAGTTTTAAACTTTCTGTTTCGTCCATCATTTACGAGACTTTGAGGAACGTCGCTATTGGCATTGGAATCGACTTCTTTTTCAATGTCTTATCTAATTTTGTTCAATTATACACATAACGTGGTGTGGTCGAAGCACTGGAAACGACATATGTTGGCTAACGTCATCATTGTCATGGTGATGGGTTCGTACTTTAGTTCAGTCCTCCTCACAGTTTTTCAAACGCGTGTGAAGGGGGTTGGTGCTGTTAATGGAACATACGTAGTCAGAAACTGCACCTTGTCTATATTGTGATATTCTGCCGTGCACTGAGCGTGTTTTAAGAGACGACCTGAAATATTAACTACAGTTCGGGAGCCCGATTTACACTTCCAGTAAACGAGGACATGCAAAAACACTTTTCTGAGGTCACTATAGAGCGAAAAATACTTTGTCTATTGGAAAGTAATACAGCCTGATTTCATCATTTCATTGAAAGGAGCTAGTGTGAATCAGGCCTAATCACATTAACAAGGTAAACACTCCTTTTGAAATGCAGTCAAAGCAATGTGTGAAACGTTCAACCCTTCACAAACTGTTTTGAAAGTTGACCCAACAAAAACATTTTCGCAAACTCTAATTTCTCAACACTTGAAAACTTCACGAATGGATCCTGTCTCTTGACAAGTTAAAGCGCACTATCATTAATCTCATAGTTTCACCTCTGGGTATATACAGGCAACCACTTAAATATGCAAGAATATTAATATTGTTCGGGTTTGCACCACAGTTCAGCTAAAATGACTTTTAGCATTTTAAATGAAGGATTAAGAGCCATTTTCAATTCCCAGAGGTGCGTATCTATTGCGCTTTAGAGCTGTATTAATGTCTTGCATATTTAAGTAGTTGCGTTTTTTTTGAGACACCCTGTATAGATCTCTTGCCCTTCGTAAACAGATCATATGATCAAATCAGACCGCATGACATGAATGTCACCCTATCTTACGGTCTTTTGCAACCCATAAAATCTTATAAAACCTAGAAATTTAACCATGAGTTCGTAGTATGCTCATTGGCGGCCATTGCTCAATACACATCCAAATGGAAAGCCTACGTGGCGCTTGAGCCCGCCGCACATGAGAGATGTGATCAGCTGCATGAGCTAAGCCGCCTCGCGAGGCAGTTAGCTCAGCCCGAAAACCATCCGCACACGAGAGTAACCTGTTGCGCTAACAGCCTCGCGAGGTCTTTAGCTCAGCTCTCGTGTGCGGCGGGGTTTAATCCAGACCCCTATGCGATGCGACACCGCAGAAATTGGTGTTTAAGACGTTTCAACCCGAAAATCTAATCGCTGGTTCACAATTGTGCATTTCTGTATCGCCCTATCAAAGAGAAACCTTTTGAATATCTTAAAAAAGTTCAATTTTTCTTCTGAATACGCATTCTGCAATCTTTTGACAGTTCATCATACACATCTGACCGCTGTGAAATGGCCATTTTGAGGCTTAAAGTATACACAAGGGTTATTAATTCAGACGATTCGTTTTTACCGTGAGCAAGCTTCAAATCTTTTGTGCAAGACATATTTTCTTGAATATTTATAAATCTTTTTCCTCACCAAGTTTGAAGTCTAAGTATCGAGAATTGCGGCTAAGCCTATACCAATTTCCGCGGTGTCATGCGATGCAAGTTAATTTGATTTCGTTTAAGGCTATTGAAGTGGAAACAAATTTAGGTCACGAGATTTATTCTTTAACAAGTTTGCATCAGAATCATAAGTTTATTTTAGGGGAAGACGTCGTGCTATTATGATAGGAATAGAAAAATATAGCGGAAATAATCGATCATTTTGATTCATTGTCTCAACCACTCAAATTAGCAGTTTTTTTACGCGATCAAGATTGTAATTATCTCACCGATATATCTAAAAACAGGAAATGAGATTCATTGAAGTTTGTATATTCTTGTGTTTCATTTCATTTGACGTATTTAATTCCCGAGGGTCAACTCGAAATCGAGACACAATATTTCAAGGATGATTGTTATGTTCTTTATTGCGATTACCATTCAGCTGACTATATACTCAACCATGTCAATCATTTCAATCCCTACCATTCTGCTGACTATATATACTCAACAATCAAACTATTCTATTCATCGAAATCACATACATGCATGCATGCACCATAGATCTTTAACCTTGTTCATCATGAGTTCCAAGTTTGTTTCTAACATGGAGATCTGTACGGTTTTACTTTGTATTGACCGCTTTTTAACTTCTCAAAAGCCATATCGAAAACGTATGCAAGTTTCCCGACACTCTGAACGCGGAAAACGTGTTTGATCGCCGGAGAGGAGGCTACATGAGCCATTTCCTTTATCGCATCTGTATCAAGGTCGCTTACGGCCACAACAGAGATTTGAACACCCATTTTCTTCAGCTCCTGAGCCTTTGGTACTGTCATCGATTTATTTACATTCGATTGTCCATCCGTTATGAGAAGGACCTTCAATTTTGAAAAGCGTCGGCTTCCTATGTTGAAAAGACATTCAAGTAGCTGCATACGCATCTTATAATGCACTATTGCCAACTATAGATGTCTTGGGTGTATCTTACAGGGCTGTACATGCACTGCTGTTGATTTCCATTTTTTGGACTTCGAATTTGTTCGTTGGAAAACTTGAGAATCCGGTAAGATGACTGCAAATTAACTCAGTGCAGTTAAAAAACTGCTAATTCAGTTGAATTAATGTTGTTGCATTGATATCAAGATGATTTATGATGGATGCCTTTTCAATGGATACTTGTGAATGTACATTTGAACCAATGGTAAAAGTACTAGTCAGGTAACAAGTAAAAAATATGTTTCAACAGTTCATATTCGTGATGTAATAATTACTGTTATGGTCAGTAGCGTAGCCAGCCTGTCGATTTGTCCCGCTATGCTAATATTTTCGTGTTCACGGACTGTGAAAACAATAGATTTCTAAAGACATGAATAATTATAATAACTCGAAATTTACATAGCGGGACAAAATCGTCGGGCTAGCTACGCCACTGGTTATGGTTCATCCCCAAACAAAGGCTTAATTAACTTAGGTTGTATAGGTTAATTTTTGAATGTAGATCTTAAATTTCGAGGGCTATATATAGTAACGCTTTAATAGATTATATCGTACAGTACCTTTCAAAAGCAGGTCCTTAGCAAAAGCCAACCCTGCTTGTGTGTTTGTGCTGCCACCGGGATACGGGATTGAACCAATTCGCTGACTTGCTTGCGCAGAAGAAAGGAAAGAGAAGTCGACTTTTGCAAGCGAAGAAAAAGTGACCGCAGCGTGTCGACAGCTGTATATCTTACCACCTCTGGGGGTCTCGCACATCTCTATCGCTTGTGTGAACGCCTTCAAGCCCTGACGAAATTCACATTCAGGAACTGACCCAGAACCGTCCAGCACAAAAACGATATCTTCCAGAACCACGGACCTTCTATTGCGATTTCCGGCCACCGGATAAAAATCAAAGAAATTTTCCAGCACCGTCTCTGCAGTCTTTTGTGGAGGTGGAATTATTTGCAGTTCTAAAAACATAAAAGAAGTGAACTGAGGGTGAAGTGAACTGCCATGAGCTGAAGGTTTGATAGTATAGCATCGAAGAAGTGAATAAAACATTGCACTAAACGGTATTTACTTTGGTAAATCGGAGCATTGGAATCCGATGGCAATGTCGTTGTTGGTGCTGGAGTAGTCTCGGCGAATCTCCAAAAGGTTTGTTCACTGTTCTTTGGCAAAACACAGAACAACAAAAGCGATAATACAACAACCGATTTCATAGCTTCTTCTTCTGGGAGAGTTTGGTTTCGCGCTTCTCAGCAGTTGATGGACGGAAATGAAAAATGTTCAACCGTATTTGACCGTTTTATTCGCTGCGTGGTCGTTGATTGATGAGGTTTTTGCGAAAACACAGGAAGTCCTAATGCATGTGTCAATTTTGTGCCCTTGTTTGTTTTTCTTTTTTACTCCGAGGTGAAAAGAAGCGAAAGTTGTCAGTTTCAAAGCAAAGCAAAGCCAAGCCAAGGGGCATTCCGAACACAGATAAAAAATCAGATATCCCTTGAACCAGTTGAGTCGTGCGTGCATGTCTATAGCGTAATGGCGCGTGATCTCCACAATGTCAGTGTGTTTGGCGTTAAACTAGTAAAACTGAAATCATGAAACGGCAGACGTCTTTCCAGTGTCAATGTTTAAAACCGGGTCGTCGAAAATCTAAACATAGGCAAACTCGGTATATGCATTTAACGTGCTTATTGACCGGCCTTGCTCACACCTTCTGATTGACTGGCGTAAAAAGATAAACTTCTTAGCGTAAAATGCAGCAAAACGCACCAATTTACATCTTTTCGTGGCGAACAATTTTTAAAAACAGGCGGCTAACAGTTGATGAAGAAATTGAGCAACCATGCAACCATAAGCAACTATCGGACCCGGACGTTGAGAATGAAGCATTTCAGAAAATTTACTCACTCTAACACCAGTATTTGTCCACTTGGGAACTTACCAACTGCTTGTGCACCTGACAGTGGAAAGCTATTTAGGACCACTTATTACTGGTGTCCCTCGCAGCAAGCGAGACTGAAAGGTAGAGGAAGGTAGCGTCCACCCTCTTTCAGTTCAGCCTCTTCGAGCACGCAAGGGCAGTCGAGACCCACACACTTCGGTCATTGAAGGTGTGTGAGTTTTTTTTGTTTATAAGATCAAACTTCAAAGGTATTCAACAAGTATCTTTTTATAAACAAGAGAGAAGTGCTCTCAAAAATGCTGTTTCAAGTGCGTTCCAGTCGCACAGACCAGATATAATTACAAATGTGTGTTGTGTTATTATAATTTCATGCTATAATGTAGGACTTTAAATCTACCGGTGACCACAGACAGTGTTTGTTTGAATTTAGTTTCTTCTGTCATGCAGAGCTGTTAGACCTGAGGAATGCACTCATACATTCTCGTCGATGAGAGACGGAGATCGTGAGGTGCTTGTTCTTAATCGATGGTTAAACCATTTGAAGTGGAACCTCAGTTGAGTAAGAGACTATGCTCAAAAAAATGGCAGCTCCGAGATATCGTTCCAGTTAACATATAGAGTCCACCCTAGTCGTAGTAATTCAAAGTCCAGAATCCACGTATATAATCCTGGCTTTAATCCCTAACCTCACCCCAACCCTTAAGAAACTATTAACCCTAACGAATAAAATAACTGATTAAATATTAATATTTGTCCCTTCTGGACATAGAATTACTATTACCAGCCCAACCCTGACCATTGGTAATTGGTATACTAATCCTAAATCGGTTTGTCTTAATCCAGATTCACATTCAGCATGCTCTTCCAGCTTTTTGCCTTAATGAACTATATCATAATGCGTTATCGTTAATCTAACGCCAGTTTTCAAACGGCAAGGAGCAGTTTCTTATTGGGTACGCCTGAGAATCGTGCATTCGAACTTGAAACACCGTCAGCAAAACGCTAGTGAAGTAACAGACAACCACGACAAGGATCACAGCATTCGCTACGATGTGTCTACGCCAGCATCGCCACCAAACGCGCGGAATTGGAATGTTATACCAGTGAATGTGTATAAAAATCGACAAAAAGTTAAAAAAGAATTCAATGGACAATCCGATTGCGAGCCTCACGAGGGATTCACGTAACACGCTCCAATCTGAGAGTTCAAAACTTATGATCATATACAAGGCCAGGTACGCTTGACTGATTATCAAAGTGTTGTTCTCGAATAGCATATTTTGTATTTCGGTGTCGGCCTTCAATCGTCTTGAATGAGGTGTGTTCACGGGCAGTTGTCGCAGCGATGCACAACAGGTTCTTCTCAACAACTTAAAAACTTGAGCCCAAACGCGATTTCGAATGTTCATCGTTGCTGTTCGAAGCACGCTCGATGCGCCAGAGAATAAGGACAGACCGATAAACAGCCAAATGCTCTTGAAGTCCGCTTGCATGATGCGATACAAGGTGATGCTTGCCCCGCGCATGAAATACAAAAGTACGAAACTTCGTTGAGGTTCGATTATCTCCGAGGAACGCCACAAGGCCATGTGCCTGCATACAGCGGTTGGGAGCAACGTCAGCAATGGTATCATGGTGGCCACGATGAACTTATAGATTTCGTTGTTCAGGGAGTTGAACCAAGGAACCGCAGCATATCTATAGTACATTGCAATCACAAAGGAAGCTAAGAATTCCGTGGAAATGACTGACATTATCTGAACGTCGGAATAGGTGACCGTTGGATGGGCTTCTCTGACTTTCCGGACAACAAGATGACATCCTACTATCAGATTGGCTGCAAACAGTACATTACCAGGCACACGATACACAACGTCCGTATCGTAAGCACCGAACAACAGTAGAAACGTCAAATACATCGTGGCAATCACACCAAATAGAAGACCCACAAATACAGTTAGAACATAACGCTTCTTGAACTCAGGCCACCCGAACAAGACCACCAAACTTGCTGGAAGCCAAAAATTTAGCAAGATCCCCTGAATGCAGTCACCGATCAATTTGAACCTCATGACGGCAAACGGTATGGTATTGTTGTGAGTTTTCCACTCGAAACACAAATCGCAAGTTCTCATGTCAAAATACAGGAAAGCAATCCCGATCGCGGAGAGAATGAGGACGGATGAGGTGATGCTGAGATTTGTCTTAAGACTTCTCACGAGAGACTGACGGATCGTGGGCTTGACTTGCACTGATTTATCTTCCTCGGTCAGTTGTACGTATCCAGATTTGGCGTGGATAAATGAGACGCTCTCCTCATTAAATGTACCATATTCGCTGTGTGTTTCGTTTTGCCATAGCGCTGTCTCGCAGGAGTCGGGATGGTTGTTCGCTTTATCCCGGAACAGTTGCGGCGTGTCCAAGGTGAACGCAGAAAATATCGAAAGAAAACCGGCAAGAATTTCTTCTAACATTCTACTCAAACCAATTAAGCTGTGTAAATATAAACACGTTATACGATTCCTGGATCAGAGCAACAGAAAGTGGTAAAGCATATTGAGTATCACTGTTCTGCTAGTCAATTCAAACTATACACAGTTACTATATAAATAAGCAAATTCTCGCCCCGGAAATCCCAAGTATACTTAAGCAGTTCCTAAAATACAATCCTTAATGGTGCAAATATAGAGTATGACTTAATTTCCATAGAAATTGGCTTTATTCTTGCCCATCACAACACTTAAAATGCTCTCTATAATTATATTGGACTGTGTTATGATTTCCGCTCTTTTTAGTTTCGATTCATAAGTTAAAAACCTGCGTACTCGACTATTCAACGCAAACGAAGAATGTCCAACTAACATACACTCTCATATATCAAAATCATTTACCTTACCTTCTTGATAAAACCCGGTTTTGAAATGTCCAGGGGGGGGGAGAGGTAGTAGCGATTAATTCCCATGCAGTCACGGTAAAAGCGTTAGCCAAAAGTCTTTGTTTTTTGTTAAGGAAAAATACGTCATCAAACGTTAACTGGTTTCGCAGAAATTTCAAATAGGCTGTACGTTGTAGAAGTATTTAAGATTTTATCATCAACAAGACAACTACAAAACAACTTACTAAAATCTTACTGAATTAAATTGCGTTAAGTAACAAGCTTAGACAACATGGCCGTCTTTTAAAAAAAAACATTTTAAAACGTTTTAAAAGCTACTAAATACTACGAAATGTTGAGAACTGCTGGATTTTTCAAAGTACATATAAAGAAAAATATATTGGTTTTATACGATTCAAAAGAGGACGAAACCGGAAGTTCCCGCGAAGATGCTTTGCACGCGTCCCTATACAGACGCGCCCTTCACGAAAATCTGCCCACTTTCGCCCCGCATCGTTCAGACGTCCCTGTAAATCTATTATATCCTTGTCGTAAATATATCACTGCACGCAGCTGCCCTCTCCTGACGTCATGCATTAGTGTTTAATTATTAAAGCGACATATCTATTAGATTGCTTAAAGCCATATGCTCCCGATGAGATACCAAGTGAATTGCATTTCATACAAACCGCATAACTACAGCGCCTTTCTTCAAATCTCCTGTCAAAAATGTCGTCGATGAGCAGCACCGTTTCGACTGTGTCCATCGCCATTGGTGTTATAGAGCTCCTTTCGGCCACCGTGTCCATCATTGTCGGTGTGGTCGCCGTTACGAGCTACTCCGGGCATGCCTCGGTGTCAACAGGCTTTTGGGCTCTAGTCGTAAGTACACAGTATGTTTATACTTTTGTTTTCACTGTTTGACAACGTTTGGTTCTTGCTGGGCGATGGTGCAAATATCAATATTGATATCAATTCAACATTGCGCCTAGTGTGCTTGAATCAGTTAGATACGGAAAATTTTACCGAGACAAAATACCTCGCGAATTCGAGAGTGAAAGAGAACGTTTATATTTATTGCATGGTTTGATCTATCAGGTTAATCCCACATACAAGAGAAGTGAAATGTTTTGTGGAAAGTAGGAGCAATAAGGATACTCAGTCAGCAATTCTTAAAACATGTCTAAATAAAATTATTACAGTGGATCTTCACAGAACGTGAATTGCCATCACAAACCCACGCCATTTGTTAGTCGCGGGGCGATTATCGTCCATGTCGGCAGAATCTCTTAGCTACCGTTCGTCGTTTGCCAAGTCCATATGCATTGATGTAAAATCAGTTTTCTCCGTAGGATTCAAACTAAAGATGCAGGGTTGTCATGCCATGTTGTATCGACTGGCAATGCCTATATGTGTCGATCCGGACTCAGTACGGTGCATGGAACTTTTTCAGATCTTTAAGATGGCGCGGGCGGAACTTTTTAAACATACAAATGCGATCTAATCAGTGCTGGCTTGGACCAACGTGCAAATTGAAAATGTTAATTTGGGAGGTAGTGCGTGCACTCAAGATTACTTTTAAATTCTCACTTTGCTCTAAAGTGGGAGGAAAGGCGCCGTCGTTTTATAATATGTTTCAAGCGAATCATTTTCCAAACTGGACTTCAGTGATTCTTATGTTATAAAGTATAAACCTCCGACAAAGGACCCAGGGAATTTAAGCCGGTATCTGTGCCGGAATCTGAGGATATGCGTGTACTCAGCTGTAGACCAGTAGCTTGTGAGAGATTCAAGTCCATTTGTAAGACTTGTTTTAACTCAGTCGTTCGAGTTTCGGGAATTTAAGTTTATTAATATTATGAATTATCACGAATTATATATTTCTCAGCTAACTCTTGCAAGCCATTTCCTGCCTACCCTAAATTAAATTTTACATTCGATTTTACATACGAAACAAAGTGCTTTTTGTGTCAACATGGCATCATATACATTCTTCGTATAATCACTTGTTCAATGTAACCTGGGTCTACTTTCCCGCATCTCAGCACAAAATTGAAAAAATACATGGCCTGTCTGAGTTCGCGTAATCAAGATTATATAAACTTCTCGGAACATGCAACCATAAGTTGTTCTTTATAAAACAGCAGCTGCACGGGCGATCAGTTTTAGACGAAAATCTAAATTTTGAAACTATCCTAGTTACAAATTATCCGAGTTTTCTTTTGTTAAGTAAGTATCTTTGCGGCTTTGCCAGCCAAAAAATCTTTGCATTTTGCGATGTATACTTAACTCGAACTATCGGCTATAGTTTTATTATTTGAAGGTTTGCCGAACTGAAAAATTGGCAATGAAGATTTATATTTATATCCAAAATCCTCTAATTATACAGCGAACCCTAAACTGTGAAACTTCGCCGGGCTTAATCAACTGACTGAATATCTTCGTGGTTACTTTTTTCTTCAGTTTCTCGTTCCTGGTGTGTTATCAATTGTTGCAGGAAAGACGAAAAATGTATTGGCAGTAAGTCAGATCAATCATATTCATATATATCATATATGGCATGTAATGAAACCGATATATGTAGCGATCATGCAGAGTAGCGTCAACGACGCATGCTCAGTAGATACAAGAAGCTTAAAAGCAATCAGGTTGATGCAACATTGATATGAACAGGATGGAGCAATGTTGTGCTGCCCACATTGTTCAGAGTTGTTATCAACATCGAACAATATTGTCACACCCAATTCATTTTCAACAATATTGTTCAGTGTTTTTGACAAGTGTGAACAATAATGGCAGCACAACATTGTTGCATGCTGATAGACCGCGGGCTCAGAGTTTTTAGGTGTGTAACAGAGACGGCGGCTGTTACTTTATGACATATAGACATATAGAAGCCAATTTGCAACTTTTTGAAAGATGCTTAACCAGAGAAATAAATGCTCTGTGAAATTCTATTCAGTCTCCAGTTGTTTAGCCTATATAGTTGTTTAGTCCCACTGTCCCATAATATACTGACTGCCAAGAATCACATTTTGTGCCACAAATTAAATAATGAAATATTTCACTCGATTCTGTTCCAGCTGACTGTTGCTCTTTTCTTCAACATCGTGACGACAGTAGTTTCTACCGTGGCAGCTCTGGTGTGCATCTCATTCTGGGCAATTTTGTCGCATTCGGGATGCAATCACCAGCAGTGTAAGTGGATCCGAAAGTTAAATGTATAATGTAAATAAGTTAGTTGCGGTATAATGTGCAATCTGAAATTACGTGTTCATGTTTAAAAGCGTAGCACGAATTAATGACTTAGCTGCAACGAAACTTAAAGAACTTCACTCAAATTGCAATTTAATCTTTGCCGTTTGGATTTGCCAAAAAGCATTAAAGGCGAATTTGAATACATCCATTGCCATTGGATAACATAATTATTCAGGGCAATTTCATTCTCTATATTGAGCCCTTTCATAAAGGGGCGTAGGAACCGGGGGGGGCAAGGGGGCCAAGGCCCCCCAACTTTAAAAATCACAGAAAAAGTACCCTTTTGCTGAGGTAAAGTGCCCTTTTCTTTGTGGAAACGTCTATGCCAACGCAACAATATAATAATATAATTCAACTTTTTTCAACAATAATATGTGCCGATGTTAAATGCCCTTTTCATCAGGCAAGTGCCCTAGACGTTATGGCCTCCCCCCAACTTAAATATGCTTCCTACGCCCCTGCTTTCATAGCAAGGAGAATCATGCTACGTTACATCGATTCACGTCGAACCTCCAATGTATCGCTAGATTTTTCTACGGAATGAAACGTATGCGGTCAATATTAACTGCCAAGCTACAATCCAACTCAGATCATTGCTTCAGTATCAAACGAATTCTTTTTCGAGCTCATAATTGTGAACGTCCGTTAAACTTAACGAAGACGAAGCAAAGTAATTTCTAGCGAGTACATTACTAGCGTGATGAACCTAGCTTAGTTTTTGTTATTGTAAAAATTGGAAAGCAAAAGTGCGGAACAAAAACCGCAGACGGTTTTATATCGTATATTCCTATTGATCAACTCAAGGACAACACTTCAGGGTTCTTCTTCCAAATCAGCATATTTTTCCTTATATTCTGCCATCACTTTGTACACAAAACGTCAGTTATGGTTACTGTATATGGAGGTTTTTAGAAATGGCATATTGATAGGTGTCTTAATGGATATAGTTCGTGTTTTATACACATTATCCAAAAATGGTTTAGCTTTCAAAATTGGGAAAATAAGGGAAATGCCGTTAACAATGGCTAGTTTTTTTTCTTAAACTGAACACTTTCTCAACAATGAATGCCCCAATTCAACTGTTAATTAATCTTCACTTTATCTTTTCAGATGGGTTTGGCTGCGATACCTATCATAAAATATTCGCTATCGTTGTTACCATGACAACCTTGATGGTGCTTTTGACCATAACAAGTTTTACAGGTTGCATCATCGGCTGTGCAGGAACGTGTTGTGCACCACCGGTACGTTTTAGTCATCACTCCGTTTAAGGCTGCTTTCCACTTACGCGTTTTTTATGCTCCTCGCACGTACACGTACGGGGAACTTTAAATGCTTTTAAATTTGTGCAAAAGTGGTCAGTGGTGGGGCCAGGCCGGCAGTGTGATTCGAGACAAGGTTCGTGCTAAACATTCTGGGCAGGATTTCAATGTGGCATTATTGATGGACAATTTCGATACCGATGGGCAAGATTACATACAGACTCTTGTGGTATTGACAACATAAAAATGATTTTCTCAGGAGGGGCACAAAATTTCACCAGGGGGGTTGAGCCCTCCGACTCCTGCCCTAGTAGTGCGCTTCTGATCCTGACAAACACTACCATTTGCAACTGAGCTACTGTTAATCGCCATACGCAATCTGATTGATTGGTGATTGATTTTTAATGCTGTTCATCTTTTCTCAACAGCAACCAGTTATTATCGCGACTGTTCCAACTCCACAATCAACGGTGATCATTAATTCCCAGTCTTCCAGCCAATCGCAGATGAACTACCACCCAATGATACCACAGAATACAGCTGGCTCGATGTTGCAGGCGTACACAGGTGTGCCAGTCCAAACGTTCGGGTTTCAAAAAACATCGTCTCCGTCCGTCCCGACAACAGACGATCAACCTCTTGTTGACAATATTGTCCTTTAAAAATGTCTGGACTAGCCTGCGGAATAGAAAACCTGCCCGCAGAATAACACTCAATAGGAAGGCGTAGCGACAGTCTTAGGGTGTATGACCTAAATGCATGACCCACCGTGAAGCAGGCTGGTACTTAATAACGAAACTTTCCCGCGTTTATTTCGCTTTTAAATTCCCCAATCAGTTCGTAAAAAGGTGTATAAAATAAATTAGAAAGCACATTGTATAGTTTATTAAGTAATTCTAAATCAACCGAAAGAGAATGGTGTCTTCATTTAAACAGGCGTTTTTGTCTTTCGCGCGCGTACCCCACGCTGCTATGAAAATTTGAGGCTGTGTCGCAAGTAAGAGAAAACCATTAACATTTTGACCGCATCCGAGCGCAGGGCCCACAATTGAAATATAGGCCCCGGTAAGAGAGGAGAGATTTGTCTCTGATTTGACACCGAGAAGAGAGGCGAGGGACCGAAGGTGAAAAAATAATAAAAGTAACAATGACACTAAAGAAAGATAAAGTGTAAACTTACTTTCCTTATGGGAAGAGTGTCCTACAACTTCAAATACCCGCCATCGCTGTGAAATTAAAGATCTCAGAAAAAAAATTCAAAATAATCTGTGTGAAAAGACGCCGGGGAAACACAGGAATTTTGCCCTTCGTTGTTTTCCGGACCGACCTTTTTCGTCCTATACAGGTCCGACGCTTAGCACTAATTTTAAACAAAAGTTGAGAGTCCACCCCCGTAGCGCCCTCTCTCCCCTTCCCGCCCAGCTCACACACACCACAATATGCGCGCCTTGATCACACACACCACAATTTGCGCGCCTTGAAAAATGTAGAAATATTTGGAGATATTATTGATATATGGCCTGCGAGGCAGCCTATTGACATACTGATGAATGATGATATAATTCTCTTTGTCGTGTATCATTGAAACTTGAGTATCTGTATACGTAAGCCCCAGCGGTTAGCGCAAGACCGCCATAAATGACTTTCATTTTTACGAAACGACAGTGTTGTGACGCAAGAAGTTGAATTGCTTCACTCTGTGGTTGCTCTATCCGTTATTTGGGGAATTTTCTTCAGAAATAGCTGCGTGAATTCGATCAAAGTTTGGCAAGATGGTGATGACAAGAAGCACCGCGGTTGGCTCGATTGTGACCGGTTCAATTATGCTGGGTTTTGCCATTATCACAGTGATCTGTGGCGCCATTTCGTCGAGCAAGCTCTCTGGGGCAACAGCTGCTTCGGTCGGATTATGGGCGCTTTATGTAAGTGTTTTGTCGCTTGTTATGCTTTCAATGCCTCGACTTCGCTTCTGGTCGAGCGCAAATACTTCATGATCAACAATTCACAGCAGCAACTAAAGAAAATATCAAGCGTGTGCCTTTTCCGCTTCTCTATAAGTGTCAAGAAAGAAGATGGCGAATACGGATATGTTGACCTGATAGTGTTGCGATTACGAAGTCTCAGTCAGTTTCTATAATTTATATAATATAGCCGACAACAACGATACTCATATATATTGTCGGGGTAGTCCGGCAAACACAATTATACATTACGAATAAACCTAACAAGACTCGCTGTTCCGACTTCCGAAATCGTATCATGACGGTCGTAAATATTTTCATGTCGGCGACCACATTTCTACCTTTCTAGCTGCTAAATCAATTTTGTGATTATGGTAGTATTAAGATGTTAATTCCTGAGTATTTTCACTCCACGGCAGCCGAGGAAAATCGATAGAATTCACAGTTAACCTGCCTGAAATGAACATGTTTAAAAAACTGACGAATTATCTAGCGACATGCGATGTTACAAGACGGAATTCGAACCCGCCTTCATGCGATGAGTTCCTCCTAAGGACATTGCATGTGCGTGAAATTTGAAATGAATGCCCATCCGATTAAAACGACCAAAAATTAAAGACGGGTTTATAACTTTGTGCTCTTATACAAGGTTTATGTCTAAGAATCGAGCTGCGGCAAAATAGTTTTTCAATGAAATTTGTTAATAATAAAATATCCGGCATTTAATATTCATAATTTAATTTAATAATACGATCCTTTGTCTCAAATATATTGCACGTAATTAGGAACACGCGTTCCATAGAAACTTGTTTCGCCGATTCAAGAGTTGACGAGGATTTGAGCGTTTCTAATTTATGAAATACCACGGGAATTTGCAGGTATAGACTATAGAATGGCAAAACAAAGTTCGCATGATTATAAGTGTTGAATTTGACACTTAACTCGAGTTGACTTTTAATATTGGCAGGGCAACAACAAAATTGATGAATTCCTCAAACATTTCTTAAAATTTCCCTTAGATTTCCGAGGAATTCCCTAGACATGAATAACGTACAACTCTAATTGGCCACATGTGACCAATTAGACCAAAATAATCATATTTAACATAACACCAAGCAAAAACAACTGAAGCACGAGTTTTAGCAACACTTGAAAAAATTTCCCCGAAAAAAGTGATTCCCTGGCCAGATCGCTCCCCAAAAATCTACCAATTTCCCCGTTTTGGGGAAATTTCCCCAAAAGACAGAGCCCTGAATATTGGGTATGCTTAAAATAGGCGTGACTAAACATCCAGCCTCGTACCCAGGCTCCTTAATAGTAAAATATATAACGTTGCAGTTATTGCAGTTATATATTTTACTATCATTAAAGCGCTTGGGTGCGAGGCTGCGAGACACCTGTACCGCTGTCCAAACATGTCATTTCTGAATTTATTTGACGAAGACTTATTTTAAGTATTCAGAATTCAGATAGCATAGTAACTGGAATATAGGGGAATATATAATAGGGTTAATCTCGTAACTAGAGTCCACGATGTTTGAGCGGAAAAACTCGCCGGATTTCATGCGATTTTAACCAAACCAAACACCACAGCAATGATTTAAACTAAAGAAAAAAGCTGCGGTTTCATGTTAGCGGTTTGGTATCGCGTGGTTACGATTTTCAAATTTTCTCATTTTTCATACCTCAATAACTTCATGTTAGAATTCGATAGAATGTTTCAAAATAAACAGCTATTTTCGCTGTTAAATTGCTTCAAGTTATTCGAAATTCTTCATAATTTTTCGTAACCAAACCTCGTTCGCACAACTGGCAGGGTTGCGAACAACTTGTACTCTAGGAAGCGATTACCAAATACGATGTTATGATAAACTAAAACTCTTTATATACACTTCTCTTAAAAGGATTCTTTTTATTTGCGACGCATTTTTGCAGGAAAACGTTCAAAACATAAAATCTTCTCTGCATATACCACCCAAATATCATCACTTCTTCTTTTAATTAATCTTTACATTATATGGTGGACTAAGTTTTGACAACGACAAGAGTTTTTTATCAAAATATGATGCGGCTATCAACAATGTTATAAATGTCAACGCCATTAGCACTGAAAAAAATACATTGAAAGTAATTTCGAAGTATCATTTTCTTCTTGGCGTTATTTTGCCATTACTTTTAGATAATACAGCAAACATACTTTTTATTTTTCATTTTATTTCATTTCATTAAAATTTATTTATTCACGGTGGCAAACTATCGATATACATTGTTTTTCATAGAGATACTTTTAAGCTTTGCAAAACATTTTCAGTAGTGTTAAAAAGTTTAGTAGCACTGTCTGAATTTTTTTATTATAGTTTGCTGTGCCAGGGGTACTCACGATTGTTGCTGGGGCAAGCAAAAATACCATTGTGGTAAGTAAGGATATAGCAATGTCTAATTGTAATACATTAATAATACTATAATTAAAGTGCACCACGTTCGTCATATTCAGCAAATTTTGTCCTAGTGGAGGGCTCAGTTTTCCATCGGTTTCGCATCAAAAATTAAAAGCTTTTCGTTTTACACACTGCTCTCAATTTTATGTAAGTTGTCCGCTGACAATATGAGCCCGCACGAGTGGGAGAAATTTACTAAAAATTTGGACCAGTGTGGCTCACCCCGTAAAATTGGTGAATTTCATGAATATTCAGTTAGTATGACCTTTTTAGTGGCATTTTCAAGCTAATTTATCATATGCTATGGTTTTCATTGGTGATTTAGGTAAGAAAAAATGACTATGCCACTCAACCTATATAAGATCGAATTCTGTACTTGTGCGGACTAGCGGCAAAATCTCTTGGAGATGGAAATCGTTTCGAAGAGCAACTCTCCCTGAAATCCGGTGTGAGTGGAAATATCTGACGTATGACTTTGTTTTCATTCTAGATGGGCTTTGCTTTGTTCTTCAACATCATTGCCGTTATCATTTCGACGATCGCAACGATTGTTTTAATCGTATTCACAGCGGCGATGAATGAAGTTATTAAGTACAAGAATAGAACGAGTTACGGTTGCCACCCAACTGATGATGATCGATGCAAATGCAAATATGGCGATGAGTACGACATTAGAGATGAAACATGTAAGTATTAATATAGGAATCTCAATAGATATCATTTGAAATAATAAAACTTAATCCATTTGCGCTGTGAGTCCAGCGACGTCAGTAATCGCGAAGCATAACTATAGCTTATAACTATAGCTTCCATAACTGGACTGTGGGATACTTTGGGACTTTACTGAGGGATACTGGCGCTATTAATAACGTGATTATATACAGAATTGACAGAAGCATAATCGAAATTTAAGATGAGGGCGTGGGGAGTTATAGTATTATTGGGATTACTATCGTATTATAATCCTCCACCATCTAAGCAGAGAATTAGTGAGGGTAATCAATAAATCGGAGTTTGTTTCGTTCAATATGTATGTGATATGATGGGTCAAAGATCTCGGATGCCCTATTCACGTCCAACCTGATCATATCTGCTATTTTTTTTGACCGCACAGTTTAATTAACCCATCTGAAATAAATTTCTCTTTTAGGCCCGTCACCCAATCTTTTGTCTCTTTGTAGATGATATGAAATGCAGTGATCTTGACACAATTTACTCCGTATTCATTGCTTGTCTTGTTATCTTCATTATCATCACCATCACCTGCTTCGCCGCATCAATCTTTGGCTGTATGGGCACATGCTGTGCTCCTGTTGTAAGTACAGCATTATGTATTATATAATAACCACAATGAAACACGCAATTTGATTGGTTAGTACTTAGTAGGCGTACAGGATGAGACAATCCTTCACGGAAAGTTTACAATGCCAAGTCTCTGGGATAATCGAAATCAGAAATGATTCTGATTGGTCGTTGATGTCACAGGGAATAATACAAGTGATACTTTCAGCGATTTTTTATTGTGATTTATAACGTTTAAAAAACAAAACGAAAAGTATCAAGCGCGAAATTTGAATTCTAATTTACAGTTGGGGAAAGCAAACGTGTTTCCGCATAAAAATACTGAGAGTTACTTAAAATTTCAGGATCCAGTTGTTGTTGTCACCACAGGCGTCCCAGTGCAATCTGCAGGAGGTACAGTTGTTGTTGCCACCAACCAATCATCGTCTGTCCAACATGGCTACCCGGGAGGCATGCCGCCCGCGTATGGCTACGGTCAGCCGACACAGCCCCCAGCATACGGGGACAAGAGTGGCCTCATTAACAACATGGCTATTTGAATAACACGCCAGGCCTTAATTGTTTCCATTTTTGTTGAGATTTTATAGAATCACTTATATCATTTAATTTAGATGGATTTAAGGGATTATTCTAGTTCCATAAGAAAGTAAGGTTTACAAGTAAAGTTTTGTCTGTAACACACATTTGTAATTACTGTTTTAGATTTTTTTAGCTTGATCGTGTACTTGGATATTCCGAAATGTAAACTTGCATGGATTTGTAGTACAATACATTAAATCAGTCAGGATTTCTGGTTACGGGTTTGGATTATCCTAAATGCCCGGTTCTTCCAACTGAGGGCTGTTTTCCACTCTCGCGTTTTTTGCACGTACGTATACGCACGTAACAGTTCTAGTGCCCAAGTGATATCAAATGAAGAAAATGATTATACAGTTTTGTCGAAGATCTGGCTTCTGATTGGTTGATTTTTATACTCATATCAAGGACTTTGCCTCAACATTTGTTACCGCTGCGATTCAAATTAGTTGTTGTAATATGAAGTACTGCGCAGTAATCGCAGGCGTCATCGAATATTTTCAAGATGGCGCTCGAAGTTGAAAGTGCAGAGTAAGTCTTGTATATTAAATCCACAGGTTTTTTTCTCATTTTATTTATGCGATTTGGGACAAAGCCTACCTCATATTCTTGCTGTTTCTTTGCAGTGTCGTAAGATTAATCGAACAATACCTGAAAGAGAATAATCTGCCAAGAACTTTGGCTGTTTTGCAGGTACATAACGGCTATAATCTTTAATAAACATGTGGCCATTTCAGTACGCTTAATATATTAGAAAGTATTATTACAAAAGTTACTTCGATCTTAGTCTATAATCGTTTCTTGCTCAGCGCTTCCATCATCTTATCGAATCTCGAAATTATACCAAATTTCCATTTGAATTATTTGATTGCCAGGGTGAGGGTGCATTCGGTGTATATCACACGCCGAAGGTACGCCAAAGCAATCTTAACATTACGCCAACTTCCCACCCTGGGCCATACTTACGACAATTACCCACTCCAGGACGTTACGCCGATCGCAGACTCGCCAGGACGTTCGACTCGTGAGTCAAAAAATGCTACACGTTTAGAGGACCATTTTTAAGAAGTTAAATGCCTTTGGTGTCGTTAAAATACTTAAATGCATGCAGTTGAAGTCGGTGTGTATGTGGACCTTTGAATTACAAAGTTTGGTGCGTTTATCCGGTATTTATGCGCCGACAAGTTAAAAACAGTGTACGCCACTACGCCAAGGAAAGTTGATTTTACGCCAGTACGCCAAGGATACCCTAACTCTACGCCGAAGATATTCCGATTTGTCTACACCGAATGCACCCTGGTTTGATTGCTTGTAGTATATATAAAACTAGTATTTTCAATGTGGAACTCTGCTATTGAATTTTTCGCGCACAGGAAGAATCTGGCATAACTCTAAACACAGTCGACAGTGTTGAAGGCTTTGTAACTGAAATCAACAATGGTCATTGGGATACAGTTCTTCAAGCTGTTCAACCATTGAAATTACCAGACAAAACTCTCATTGAGCTCTATGAACAGGTATAGGACACCTTGCATATGTTAGTATGGATCTTATAGTAAACAGCACTTCTGAGCCTGCCACCCATTTGAACAGTAAATCGTTAAATTTCATCTCGATGTACCCCACATTAGTACATTAGTATTCACTCTGTCTAATGCTGGAAAATTTTGACAGTACAATTATAGAGTTCCAGGCCAATAGTGCATTATGTTAAAGATCTGTTAGGGGATCAATTTTAGAATATGGAACAACCTTGTTCTTTTGTTTATTCTATGTAATTCATGCATCAAGTAACATAAAACAAGGTACATGTAGTTCTATATGGCATTCCCTGAACATTAAGAGTTAAGTTGTCCAGGCATTCTGTAATTGCTCCAATTTTACTCATGCAGGAAAGAGCACTTACATTGATATCTACCGATATGTTTAATTAAATCATAGAATAGAATTCTGCTGTTGTGTGCCCTACTTTTCGTTAGAGAAGGGAATACATGCATGCTTTATAATCATGCTGTTTATTTCTTGTCTAATAATCTATTCAGATTGTGCTGGAGTTGATTGAACTTCGTGAACTTGGTGCAGCCAGATCTTTGCTTCGTCAAACAGATCCAATGATCATGTTGAAGACCCAGCAACCAGAGAGGTATCTACATTTGGAGAACTTGTTGGCACGGTCGTACTTCGATCCTCGTGAGGTGAGTGACATTCTTGGGCTGCTCTTGTTATGCACTGTTACAATTTCTGCTACCATGTGGCATATGGTAACATTTCAAAGCAGAAACAGTGTCACACTTAGAGTAGGGGTTACATTCTCCCAAGAGTTTAGGATAGAAGTATGTAATTAGATATGTGAAGTGTGTAAATTAAGACCCTTTAAACCTCTAGAATTTACCTGCATCAAGTGAAGTGCCAAAAATCATAATTAGATATGTGTTGAAATTTAGAATTTGGGTGGAAATTTTGAGTGTAGTTTACGGTGTAATCAGGGGACAGCTAAGCCTGTCAACAGCCCTGTTGACTTGACCCACACCTCATCTCTTCAACTTTATTGTATTCTGCTCCTCAGGCGTATCCAGAAGGAAGCAGTAAGGAGAGAAGAAGAGCAGCAATTGCTCAAGGTAGGTCTGAGTTCAATTTATATGAGAAGTTATATGGATTTTTGACCTTAAAACTCACTGTTCTATGTCACAGCTATATATAATACCAAAGTTATACCCAGGGTTGCATTCCCAGTGTTTTGGGGTTTGAATATGTTACATGTATCATTCTGAAGGCCTTTCCTCTTTGGTGCCAAATGAAGTTGCATTCAGCTACTCTATGAGATCAGTGACAAAAAATAGCGAATGTATGGCGTATTCTGATCTCCCCAGATCTCCCCTTAAATTAGCATTCTAGTTAACTTTTAGTTCAGTGGGTTATGGTCTTGTTTCCTTGAAAACGACCAACTTTATTAGGTAAATTTTGTATAAACCAGTCGATCTGTACAAAAATCAACCTTAAATTGGCGTGAGCTAGATTCTGGTTCCAGAAAAATGAGGAGAACCGATGCGCAAGCCTGAGTGGTCATTACTTGTTTCTTATTCTCTGAAACTCTTTAGCTTTATCAGGTGAGGTATCCGTCGTCCCTCCATCGCGCCTTCTGGCTCTGCTTGGACAGGCTTTGAAATGGCAACAATACCAAGGCTTACTACCACCTGGAACATCTATCGACGTGTTTCGAGGAAAGGCTGCAGTCAGAGATGAAGAAGAGGAGAAATATCCCACACAACTTAATAAGACCGTCAAGGTACTCTATCTCACTTTTGTTCAACCCTGCTGCGATTTCCAGGCTGATTCAGTTTCGTCTAGTGGTTATGGAAGCCCTGATGTATGCAAGCGGCCTTATATAAACAGCCATTACCTACATGTAAAGCATATACACTCTTTCACACCGATGATCTACGGTCATCCATTTAAGGAAAATTGCTCTTAAATTGCACTAAATTGTAAACAGGCCTTTCTTTCTTGACTGTCAAGTAATATACTAGAATCTACATGCTAGGGTGGAACTAAGGGGCTTTTTACATGAGCCCGGTTACTCGAGATTCAACGAAGCTTGAGAGACTTTGAGGTATTAGAATAAGTCTTCATGACACCAAACAAGCACATGCTATTGTTGTGGTGATTATACGACGTCTACTCATTTCAATACCTCAAAATCCTCTCGCGCTTTGCTGAATCTCGGGTAACCGGGCTCATGTAAACAGCTCCTGAACAAGTAAAGAATAAACCCAGTGAAAGTAGTAGAACACTTTTTCTAATTCTCAAAGAAAAATTTCTAGTTGAAAACAATCTTTATCAATGCACGTCTTTGTCCGTCGGTTTTTAGTTTGGTTCAAAATCCCACCCAGAATGCGCTCTCTTCTCACCGGACGGCCAGTATTTGGTGACTGGCAGTGTCGATGGATTTATCGAAGTCTGGAATTTTACGACGGGGAAAATCAGAAAAGATTTGAAATACCAAGCTCAGGTACGTCAGAAACAGCTCGGTTGAAACAACTTAATATATCTCTTAAGTTTAATATACGTAACCAGGGAGCAGCGTGGCAGCATCTTCAAACAACTTAGCATCAAATGTGGTATAACGACTGCCTAAAATAGACAGTATGACTTATACTAACTCTCGTGACGAAGGCCCTCAGGTCGAAACGTCGAGAAGTGTTTTTCTCTAAATTTTAGTTTCGAATTTATCTCAGAGTTGATAATAGTTCTTATAACTTAAAATAATCACAAAATTTCGACTAATTTCATAAAGAATTACAAAACATATAATCGATTGAATACGGCAGAATGGATTTCTATTTCGACAACCGTTCTGGACGCTGATTGGCTAAAATATGAGCGTGAGATCACCTGGTACTTTCCAACGTGGCATTGCGGTACTGATGGATGTTGGCTTCTGCACCTAACACTGCTAAACTTGTATTTTTTATTTGTTCATTACAGCTTCGTTAGGCTTAACTGTGTTCTGACTAGTCGCTTTTAACGTCGCTTTAACTAATTGCTTTTAAATCCAGTGTATACTCAGTGACTTCCAAATTAAAATCAAATTGTTCTTGCAGTGATAATTATTGTTTTGCTTTCGAGCTTATATAACAGTGATGTTAATTTAGGATAACTTCATGATGATGGACGATGCTGTGTTATGTCTGACGTTCAGTCGAGACAGCGAAATGTTGGCTTCAGGCGGCCAGGATGGTAAAATAAAGGTGACGAACGCTAGAGAAGTAGTATAAACTAAGCCAAAAAACACTTGGACACCTAAGAAAGAAATGGTTTTTTAGTAGTCTTGAGAGTTCTTGAACTATAACGAATATACAAATTTGTCCCTGTAGTGTAGAATTCTAGAAGTTAAAAAATACCTCCAGTGTGAGACCAAGCTTTATTTTCGTAAACTATTAAAACATTCGTTTCGCTATAGGTATGGAAGATGCAAACAGGACAGTGTTTGCGTCGCTTTGAACGGGCACATGCAAAGGGCGTTACGTGCATTAATTTCTCGAGAGATGCAAGTCAGCTTCTTAGTGGTTCTTTCGATATGACGATAAGGTATGTTATCCTTTTAACTAGGGAGCCACCTTAATCATTTTGAGGCGAAGAGTATACCTTTTCACGAAATGTTACCAAAACTGGAGGGGGGGGGGGCGACTTCTTGACTCCTCTTTTCCCAAGACCCTCTTCGGGTCGACATTCAAACTCAAATGACATTTTCGTTCAGAATGCATGGGTTAAAGTCTGGGAAGACATTGAAGGAATTCCGTGGCCATATTTCTTTCGTCAATGATGTGGCCTTCACTGTGGATGGTCACAATATTATCAGCGCCAGTAGTGATGGAACAGTCAAGGTGAGACAGTATGAACTTTGATTCCCTGAGTTATAAACACAATAGTGAACTTAAGCAAGTGAAGTTTTGTTTTTCACCAATCACAATCCTTGACCCAGTCTTTTCACGTTACTCGTGACGTCTGTTTTGTCAAAAACGTCACTTGCTTAACCTCACTAATATCATCTTCCCGTCAGGACAATTAATAAGGCGAGAAGATATGACAATATCAAACTACATATTTTCAGGTTTGGAACATTAAAACAACAGAGTGTATTCATACGTTCAAACCTGCAGTTGGCAGTGTGGCGACAGATATTGCCGTTAATTCTGTCCATCCTATCCCTAAAAACTTGGAACAATTTGTCGTGTGTAATCGATCGAGTACAGCCGTCATTATGAACATGCAAGGCCAGGTATTATATTTTAAGAAAACGTATACATATCATATATCATATAAATATTATAATATCATATCATATCTTATCATCATATATCATATCATATCATATCACTACATTGTCATAGTATTTTATCACCCTCGTATTGTTTATGTTACGGACACATGTTATTATGACGAAAACTGGGGGGAATGAGGGGCACCCCTCTCCCCTTTAATACCCCTTCCCGTTTATACCCAAGTACGGGGAATTTTAGAGCGATTTATAATATAATATCTATCCACATGCAGTCAGTCACCAGTGGATAGCGCTATTCCTACGACCTGCTCCAGGTTTATAAATGAAAGAGCTAATTCATTATATTCATCATTATAACGCGCATTCGTGTTTCTAGATCGTTCGTAGTTTCACGTCGGGCAAGCGAGAAGGTGGTGATTTCACATGCTGTTGTCTCTCGCCACGAGGGGAATGGCTTTACTGTGTCGGTGAGGACATGACGCTGTACTGTTTCAGTATTGCAACTGGGAAACTAGAACAGTCTCTACAGGTTAGTTTCTCGAGATTACAGATTTTTTCATTACCTTCTGATAAAAAGGTGCTTTCCTTTATACAGTAAAGACGGCCAGATTGTATTTCAGAGTGTTTCCAGAACTCTGCATTCAAATATATCGTTATTTACATCTGCCCCTCACCGCTATATTCTTAACGAAATACTCTAATTTTGGCCGCTGGAAAGCGCCCTTAGTCTACCACGCAATCAACCCAATATTAGTCACCATAGTTTGTCTAATTTCTCAAGGTCCATGAAAAAGATGTAATTGGCGTGAAACACCACCCTCACAACAACCTCATCGCGACGTTCAGTGAAGACGGGCAGCTCAGGTTGTGGAAACCATAAAACATGTATGTGAAAGACAATGTTTTGGTAGTAATTCCATAATCTTAACTTTAATCCTGAACCTGACCGTAACAATCAACTAATACTCGTGCTAAAGGATTAGATTATGGATTATATTAGGAAATTCTGGACCTGGAACTATTAAGTCTTTGTACATAAAGGTTTGTTTCCGTACTTAACTAACTCATCGCTTTTCCAAGACAAATATCTCCCTTGCTGAAATACAAAGCTAGATCTGACGGGGGAATAAACATTGGGTTTAGACACAATCATGAAAACATTTCCCAGTGACTTGCCGAGACTTGGAGACAAAGCAAGCATTGCATGGCTCGAGAAATTGGCCTATTTTATTCATTTTTACTTTATCTTAGCATATGTTATTAAATTGCCTACGCTGTGATTTGTAAGTCGTTTTATCACAGGTTCCAACGTTACCGATATTTAAAAAAGTGCTAAAATTATTGAAAATATTCTCTCATAATCGTTTGACAAAACTTGCAGAAATAGGCGACTTTCATCAGGAGTCACGTGACTGTGCGGTTGGATAAAAAACGCGAGAGATTTTGAAATTTACGGCGACATTTTGGAGTTGCCGACATTTTCATCAAAACACTGATACACAAGAGACTTAAGTCGGTATTCTGAAAACTCACTTACACTTAAACTCGTTAAGTGGAAGATGTCAATCACCACACAATTCCATTGGCTATTTCCACTCGAATAAGAGCTGAGTTCGAAAAACTACCTTAGTTTTCATCAGCGTTAGTATGCTATCAGCGCACAAGTTCACTTCGATCAGGCATCATGATACAAAGCATCAGCCTGCATCGCAGCATCGGACCCTTCCTGGACCTCGGGGGATCTCTTAAATCGATCTTTTCCGGACGCTCACGAGTTTTGACAGAAATAGACAAACACATTTCTCGGCGTTTCGACCTATGGGTCCCGTGTTTACAAGTTACAAGGGCCTTCCTCGGGAGAGTTAGTATCGCTATACCACATTTAATGAGAAGTTATTCGAAGTCGCTCTCACGCTTCTCCTAATTTATTCTCTCATTTTACTAAAAAATACTTTTCCAATAAAGAAGTGGCTATGTATTTGCAAAAAATTACTTCGACAAAAGCAGATAAAAATAATGGTCAAGCGTATAAGTTTGTTAATCGTTTCTCTAATCATATCGCTGTTTAGTCACTCTTCTATTATGTATTAGGCTTTATCGCCTCAATTAAGACTACCATATTCCGGACCATTATCGACGGCAACTAGCACGAGGGCAAGACGTCTTCGACGATATCGACGAAAGCCAAACGCTATCATAATTATCATGAGAAGTACAGCAAAGCTACCGACAGCAATACCGGCGATGACCGCAGTCGACAGGTGACAAGGTCCTTCTTGGCAAGTTTCACTGCAACAATGTCCCGTATCACCACAATCAGAATTAAACGTACAAGTATAACCAACACAGCTCTTTCGACATTTCCCATTGCAACATTGATCATCCGTGTCATCGCAAGGAGATAGGGAGGAACAATAGGAATAGTCCGAATAGGTAGCATTACAAACCAAAAGACATGTTCCACTACAACACACTTGTGTTTCGGTACAATCCCCTCCGTTCTTACAAGTTGTTCCACCTTTACTTGTCCCACACAATACAGCAAAGCAGATAGCCAAGTAGACCACCTTCAAAACGGCCATATTTATTTCCGTATTCAACCAGGAAACGATTCGCGCACCACCAAGTGTTTACCAAATGTTATAATATATTACCATGTTGATCTCTATGAAGTAACTGAATGCAACCAATGAATATTTTCTAATTAGACGAAGAGGATCGCGTCCGAGTGGCTCTCGCCTGCGCCTAAATAAAAAAACGATCAAATAAATAGCTTGCTTTAAATTCGTCTATTGTACGACGTTTTATATAACGCCGACCTTAGCTCGTAAACAGCGTTTTTTCGTGGGAGGGATGTCCACTCCATTTTAATATATAGAGCTCAGTGGTACGTCACACGTGTTGTTTTCGAAATTTTTCGGAGACATCGAGATCAAGCACGGAGCGTCTGACAAGAAACCGAAGAAAGGCGAAAGTTTTAAAGTTTTTGATATGGATGCAAACAGTAGACCAAGCATTGGGCGGGGGAGAGGACGGGCCCGAAACCTGGCGAACGCTATAAACCAGGGGGGAAACGCCGGCCAGTCGAAATACGCACCGTTAAACGCGAAGAACGACGAACAACGTTTGCAGTCATTGAAACTGGCAGTCGATGAATCGTTGCGTGTTTGTCTAACGAAAAAAACTTCGGAAAATATCAAGTCTTTCTTATCAAAGGCAGAGGAATACGCGACGAGTGAAAGCTTAATCCAAAGCGTGGTAAACTCGCTGTTCGAGATATGTTTGGAACAGCGAGGTTTCGCCATCAATGGCGGCCAAGTGGTGGCTACATTGTTTTCCTCCGAGAAGATGCCGACGTTTCGGACAATATTTTTTAAAAAGGTAAAAGTGTCATAATATTTTAAAAAGGTAAAAGTATAATAATATTTTTTGAGTCAACCTTGAGGCGTATAATCAAAATTTTTTGTCGGCGTCAGCCAGCTCCATGCTGATTGGCTGAATATTTGTGGCTGGTAAGGTTGAAAGTTGACCAGTAAATATGCTTTCTCTGCAAAGCTTGTAGTCTTTGGATGAGCTATTTTCACATAACAACAAAGCAACATATATGATTGCATGCATCTGTGATATAATATCTGATAGAATATATCAAGTTGTTTACTATTTTATTTTAAGAGGTGCTTTGCAGGTATAGGGCAAAACTCATGCATGTTGCTTTTGCCCTATTTTCTGCCCAAGATTACACTTCTTTTTCAACAGGGTAATAAGGATGACATATCTTAATTAAATTTTCAATTGCCTAAATAAGAATTTCTTTATTTAGTTTCAAGAGATGTACACAAATCGGGAGATGCTGAGAAAAAAGGAATTTGAGAAATACATTTGTTTTTCAACATTCCTTTGCTCAATATTTAACGATGTTCGACTAAGCAACGGCCAGGTCATAAATGTGTTAACAAAGCCAACATACAATATGCTTTACGATCTTCTGAACAATCAAGAGGGCTTTCAAAGGGAAAAGGCGATTGTGGTTTTTCGAGACAATTTACTAATGGTTGCTCCTCTTCTACATAAGACAGACAAGGTAATCTGTAATTTTAGCAAGTAGACTACTTTTTCAAGATGTGTATCAATTTGCTCCCAGTTGGCTATTTTTTAATATTTGCTATTGTGCCTTCTTTTTAGAGTCAAATGGATGAGCTTTTCAATAGAGTGAGAGTAGGTATTGTTAGGGACAGTTCCCCAACAATTACATGCACACTTCTTCAACTACTAGAACAATACTTTGCTGGAGATTGGTCACTTGAACCCGAAACAAAAGGTTTTTATGAAAACTTATTCAATCACATCACAACTAAATCATAATATTTTTAATACTATAACTTATTGTTGGAAATCCAAGCAATTCTCCATTTTGTAAATATGTGTATTTTGAGTTTTGTAATGGACCATCCATAACTTTAATTCGCTGGTTGATGTAAAGATTTTTAATTTGTTATTATACAGTTATCGCTTTACATGAAGTATCGGTGTGTGTTTGCTATGGTGATAATGACGTGCCATAAAAATTGCCGGCACCGGCACAGATTTATTTTCGTTTCTTTTCCAATACTTGGAAATTTATAAAATTTTATACATTTCTTGGAACGCAAAATACGTACGTAATGATGTCATATTCTTTTTGCCCATACTCATTCCAAGAGTTTAGGTTAGTACAGATCATTTTTTCGTTTCTTAGAACATGTCTTTTGGTTTGTCTATGAGCTTTAAGTCGAAATATGATGCAAAGAAATTTGCTTCCATTTTGACATTTGATTTATATTCGATTTATTTCAACTCAAAAGCTTGTTATGAATCGTTGACAAGTAATTTGATGAAACTGCCACGTTGCTCCTGGTTAACGGGAAACGTTATATCTGAATTTCAGAAGATTTTAAAGTGTCATCGTTTAAGAATTGAACAAATATAGATAGATAGGTTAAATAATGCATTTTTAAAATTTCAACTGATTCTTAATTTAGCATCCTTTATCAATATATCCATCAAAGCAGAAACCTACTTCTGTAGTAGCACTAGCCTATGATGCAGGAACCATAATCACCCTTATTCACCTCTGCCACACCATGCCCATGGATGGGAAAAGAGTATCAAATATTTATGGTCAAGTTTATGACTTTGCTAAAGAGATGGTGACATCCTTAGACCAGGTATATCCAGGCGACCATATTGCATATGAACGTGTCAAACTCTACTGGCACCATGTTATTGTTGAGGACGTTGACAGGGAACTTGAAGAGGTCAAAATCATCCATTATTATAACAATGTGAGAGAGTTTTTTGAAACAACAAGTAAAGAAGGTTCTTTAGCTCAGGTCATGAGAGGTTCAATCAAGTTCTGGTCTAAAAGGTATTAAATTAGCCTAAAATTTGCATGTAAGATAATAATAATAACAAATTTATTGTAGCCTTCCATTTTACATGGCTCTTCATCTACAATATATCTATACTATAATTAATGAATACAAATTAAAAAATGTCTATGCTATAATTAGCGATATAGATGGTATAATGTATTGTAGGTTAAAACCGTTGATATTATCCTACTCAACTCTTGCCTGATCAAGAAGAAGCGTTTTTGTCTTATTGACTAAATACTTCCAACCCTCATAACTTATCTCCTCAAAAGCAAAAGCAAACACAGAAAAATATTTATTATCTTCCTAACTTTGCCAGAGTCTCTGAAGCAATTTATGTTAAATTTTGAAGGGCTGTCCTTTTCAAATCACCATCAACATGAATTCACTTCATTATATTTCAAACACATTATATTCCTGACAGGTTTTACCGTATCGTCTACAATGTTGAGACCTATCCTCCTGAGAAAGTGTTGGAGCTTGCTTGTGACAGACTGGGGGAAAAGAAATACAATCCATTGACTAGTAACTGTGAGCATTTCTGCACTGAGTGTAGGATTGGAAAAGCTGCCAGTGTTCAGGTTGGTGGAGAAAGTTTGTTTAATTTGCAACTAACTGGTCCAGCACCTTAACTAGCTGTAACTGTGTAAAAACAGTGGCATGGCTTGACATTTCTTAGACCTTACTGAAAAAGATTTAACATTTCTAATCTTAGCGAATCGCATTTCCGAAGTCCGAACTTTGAAATTATTATTTGCGGGAAAAAATCCCAAGTAACAAATGACAAAATGCAAGCTTCTGGCCCAATTTCATCTTGAATATATTAATTTCACACCAAAAAAAAAGATTTTCGACTTTACGTGGTCACTTTCTAGCTGGCCAATCAGGTTGCTGAATTTCGATTTCGGCTTCGCGCGAAAAAGTCGATTTGTGAAAAACGCGGGCTTTGCAAACGCGCTACTATTAAAATAAAAACAATTCAGATAAAAAATGATCTCAACAATTTTCTGACCCACACATCTTAAACAACAATATCTTCATCAATTATAACTTATTGTTAAATCTGCATTCGTACAGGTAGAATATTTAGTGGAGAACATAATTGCAACAGTACTGCCTTCTCTATCGCGGCCACTTCTGGAATTCTTGCTGAGGAAAACTGTTCAAAAAAGCATCGAGGAATTCACTAAAAATACTGCCAAACATCTCGCTCGAGAGATCCTACCTAAACTTTCGCATGCGGTGTTCCGCATAGCCTTGCTACGTTGCATCGGACTCGTGGGATCCCGGGTGTCCTGGGTGTCATTGCAACAGAGTACTGTTGTAATCGTACGGGGAGTTGTTGCGACCGAGGCGGGGAGGCTTTGTAAGACTGGGACCAAGGAGGTGGTCAGGAGTCTTGGGCAAAGTTTAGCTGTGAAAAAAATTCCCGAGGGTACCAGCTCCCGGAAAGCAGTTTGTCGCATGACAAAGTCTGGCGTTTTAGCAGGTATGGTAACTGGTGTATAAATGATAAGCTTGTATCGGTTAATACTAGCATGGATAGTTAAAAAAGACATTTTTTAGTGATTTTATTATCCACGATACTGGCTAGGGAACGCCAACTTTATATGAAAGATTTTACACAAACCTCTCGTCCACTCTATAGTTGATTCTCCTTACATTACATTCCTGATATTCACCAAATTAAAGGGCATTAGAGTGAGAGTTCTCCAATCTCCAAGTCCTTCAAATTCTGGTCACTTATTTTAATACCAAGATGCGCTAATCCAGTATGACACACGTAAACTGATTTGCATTTTAGGCGTTGCAATTGAATTAGCGTTTATGAGTAAAGACATTCGGGCCGCGTCGGTGAAGAAGAACGCGGGCGAGATTACGAAAGAAGAATACGAGGAGACGGTGATTAAGAGAGTGGTGGGGGCTTCGGTGTCCGCCCCCATGTCGCTGGCGGGAAGTGTCGTTGGACAATATGTACTGCCGGTGCCCGTCGTCGGCAACGTGATTGGTGGAATCACTGGAAGCGCTGCTGGCAGGGTTGTCGGCGCGGTATTAAGTGCGGGTGTGATAAGGACCAAAGAGCGTGTCGGGAAGTTGATGAAATCCTTCTCGTGGAAACGCGTTTAGCTGCACACTCCAGTGTCTTTGTGAGATCACCCGGATAAGATATCATTATTTATGATTACGGATTATTATTTTTTAATCAGTCAATTAAAAGATATGATATGTATTTTAGATATATATAATGTGGTTGTTAATTTATTTTACTGATAAAATATGAGCTGCGATTGAAAAATAAGGGCTACGTGACTCAAATTGCACTGAGCATCCGTCTTGAAGAATTCCTGCATAAGTATAATATATAATATATATGATTACTAGTTCTTTTCAGCATGAAATTCAACGCTAACCATACCAGTGTATGTAATATAAACGCAACGTAACCTTGCCCCGAAACCCCTGCCTGTCAAATTTGATGCTATTTCATCATTTTCATGTGTTTTGGGGCAAATTTGCCAATAAAATTGCAAAATACGTCATCTCAAACAGCGCAGTGGGAATTTTATACAGTACAGAGCCACCTTAATAACGTTCGAAATCACGTGAGGAACCTTCGTGTTCGGAGTAGCGTTCTTGCAGTCAGGAAGTAAATTTTGTTTCCCTTCGAGTCCATGTGTTTCCGTGCGACCACCGGAAACCGAGAATTTTGCACACTTTTACACAGAAACAGCGTCAAATAGAAGATCAGGCACACACACAAGATTGCGGATTCGTTTCTAAAACCGTTTGGCCGCGATTTACGGTAAGATCGCCGTTTTTACGGCTTTAGTGCTCAAGTGTAATTTGACTTCCTTTGTCGTGATGGAACGTTCGTATGTGTTCCGTTGCCTTACATTGGTTAACTTCGCGCGGGAAGTACGCGTATTTGCATCTAACGAACTAGGTTATTTAAGCTGTGCTGTTATGGCAGTAAACCGGCTGTCGAACTACGCTCTTCTTGCTCTACATTTTACCGTATTTTCGGGCGAATAATCGTCATGTTATCTGTACAAAAACGTGAAATATATCATTGATGAAATATGCCGCGAACTATTTACGTTTTTTCTATCCCATGGGAATTAAACATAAGCACTTATGTTTGTTATGTGTTTCGAAGAATGTCGCTAATTCGAATACTCTCATCTTTAACTGTTTGTAAAGCGACTCGTTCTGTAACTATTCAGATCGGTAAAGGATTATATCAGCTGCTGTTTAATGAAACGCTGTTTATATAAATTGCTATGAAAGGCAGAAAGGGTTCCTTTGTTTTTATCTCACCAGCTTGGCAACAACAGAATTTACTTTCTGCATGTTCAATCGTTGGCTTCTTAGGCAAATATTTGTCGTATACGGATGGCAGTAAATGCGTACAACTTTTGCTCTATTCAGGCTGTATACAACGTTCTATTTTTAATCGGTGTTGATTTCAAAATTAAAAGGAAAAAATCGCATTCGGAAACTGAATATATTCGACTTCCGGAGGTGGCAATATGGACAATACATTTATTTAGTGCGTTTTCTGTTCAATCTTAATACGATATAAACTGATGTGCTTTATTTCATACGGATAAAAAGGACACATAAATTTTCCCTGCAGTGGTTTCTTTCATTGTTTTTTATGGAAAGTCGTTTGTTATTCACATATATGAACATAACTGCTAATAACTTTAATACTATTAGCACGAGTAGTTGAAAGAGAAACTGCAGGAGAACTGAGGGGAAAACAGTGGGTAAGGCCTGCATACTTTTCTAGTTCTTTCCTGAGGTGGGTCATGGAAAATTCCAATCCAACAAGCTATAGTGTGCCTTGAAATGGTTGAATAACAAAATTGAAATCACAGCATTGGGCATGAACTCAATCTTGACAATGAAATTAAAAGGATAGAAAACAGTAAACAAATGCCAAGTGCAGCATGTCAATGATTTGAAGCTCCCCAAAAATAAGGTCCTCCCTTAGCCTCTCAATTCCAAAATTGCTCCATGGTCCCGGTTCTTGTCTTGATTCTATATCAAAAACTTGCCCACCATAATAGGGTCACTGCCAATAGTGCATGGTGCACAAAATATTAAACATTTCAACATGAGGTTGCTATTAATCCACTTTTAATAAATAATTTTCTGCTGCCTTAGGAGCATTACTTTCAATAGACCTTTCTCATAATGACTTGTTAGTATTGACTAGCACCACTCGTTAGTTTTGAAATTTATTAATTACTCAATTGGCTCATTTGTATTTAAACCAATTGGTAATCAAACCAATTGTGTAAATTGAACAACATTCATGAAAATCTTTATAAATGCTTAATAATAGACTCTAAATTTTGTCCATGGTCATTCATCTATTGCATTTAACATGTTTTCCAATCACATATGAACAGCTAATATATATGTCCATCTCATTTTAAAACTTACATGTTTGCATCTCAACTTCTCAGTCACACCTACTGTGAATGTCAACACCAGCAATGGCGTCATTGGTTGACCTTGGAAAGCGCCTCCTCGAGGCATCCAAGAAAGGTCAGGCTGACGAAGTGAGCATGCTGATGTCATCTGGGGCTCCTTTCACAACTGACTGGGTAAGATTGACAAAGCTTTAACTGGGGGTTTAATGCTGGGAATATATTTGTGACCATATGGGTTAAAAGCATTTCTTGTCTCCTTGAAGTTGCTATAGCAAAGCAGTAAATGCCACCTAGAAAATAGCCAACAGTTTTGGTAATCTTAGTCCAGTATTATGACCACATATTTCCTAAAAATGATAGTTATTTTAGGACCTCCCTCCATGCGCAATCAATTTCCATCTAGTAAAATGTATATTCATTTTTTAGCTTGGTACTTCACCACTGCATCTTGCGGCCCAGTACGGGCACACTACCACAGCAGAAGTGCTATTAAGAGCTGGAGTTAGCCGAGATGCGAGGACCAAGGTATTGATTTTTGTTATGACATTGTTATGACACAGCTGATACAGCTGTTTTTCCAGATGGTTGTTACAATTCAACTTCAAGTATTTACTTTCATTATGTTCATTTTCCAGGTTGACAGAACACCTATTCATTTGGCTGCACAACATGGGCATCTTGACATTGTTGATTTACTTATTGCTGGTGGAGCTAGTGTGAATCATACTGACATGGTATTACTATAAACATGCAGCATTTTAGCGAACTTGTAATATCACAGCACTAATGGTTAACTTGATCACCATTAACTGGAAGTTTGCTGAAACATCTTCCTCTGACATGGGGTGTTTTGTGTTGTGCCGGCTATAATTTATGGCTTTTTGTATTTTAGTTAAACATGACACCCTTACACTGGGCATGCGACTCTGGCCATATCGAAATTGTTAGGCTCCTGCTCAGAAACGGTGCGAGAATGGACATTGAAAGCAAGGTAGAAAATTGACGAAAAAAGTTCATTATACGGTATCTTTAAGACAAAATTTTCAACACGTATTAATTGATCCCTTTTATTTAGTTCAAACACACGCCCATCGACATAGCGAAGCAGAAAGGCTTCAGTGATATTGTTGTTGCACTTCTGGAAGAAGAGGTAATGAAAGGATATAATTTGAATCGTTTTTTGTTTTTCTATTGTATAAAGAAGTTTTTCGAATAGATTCGGAAAGGGAGTTGTTTCTGAATTTCTAGGAAACTTTTTTATATTTTTTTCTCGTTTATACAGGCCTCAGATCGGAGTCGGGGAATAAAAAGACAGAGTAAGTTACATTAGAAATTAAAATTCCGAGAATTTTGCGGGTTAATTCGGATCAGAATAAGTTGGCGAAGGTGTGTTGAGTTTGAAAACTTGACTGTAACTAGACTCCTTAGCTTAGTTTGTTAGAGTCGTGCGACGGCATCACGGGGTTTGAAGTTTTTTCCAGTGAATACGGAGTGAAAAGAATTGAACTATATTTTATCAATCCGCCATTTTGAAAAGCGATAATAACACACGTGCGATTATTCATCATAATAACAAATGTGTGATTATCGGGTTTGATCCACCAAAAGGGGATAAAAAACTTTTCAAAAAAAACTAGTTTTTTATTATATAATAAACAGATGTTCTCATGTTGAGAAAGATATCTCACTCGTTCGCTGCGCCCAGTCGTTCGATATCATTCTCAACACTCGAAATAATTCCATATTTCCGCGCATCGATGTATTATTGTCTATTTAAATATCGGTTGAACATTCCTTCCTGAAGTTATATGAATAAAAAGCTGCACTGAATGACAAATAAAATTCAAAATGGCTAACCGCCCTTACCATTTTCGCGGTTCAAAGAGAAAGAAAATTGCCCTTGGTGATCTCTTTCTTTAAATATTTGCAGGTCAAACCAGCCTGACACTTGGCTCTATAAAGAAACGGCAAAAAACTCGAAAATTTCCAATGACTGCTGGGTCATGGACCGGAGTTCACGATCCAGGCAGTGGGCAGAGTGAGTATTCGGAGCCGGGGGGTCAGAATGAGTTTGAAGCACTGAATAACGAACATGTAGTTATATTCACGTAAACTACATGAGATAATATCTCATAATTTAAACCTATCTTCAGACGTTCAAGTATTAAGAACCCACTCGGATTCAATGGCGCCTCTGGTCTCGGCTGCTGCTTTAGCAAGTTCCGAAGAGAAAAATACAAAAAGTAAGATTTGGTACACAAGAGTAAATAAAGTAAATTGTGAATACATCCCTTAACTCTCTGTACTTCATTCGCAACGTTTTGGTATTCTAGTTTTCAAGCTAGATCTATCAAGTTCTCTTTTTTAAACCCTGCATCCTTTCCTTTCTTTTCGACCAGGTTTGAAGCAAGGAACAACCTCGTCCCAGGACTCCAGTGTGTTGGACGCTCTCGCAACTCTGGCGACCGCTACTTTACATCAAACAACGTGTATACCCTCGACCCCTACCAACTCCATCGCGATGGCAATGTCGGCTGTTGGGAGACAAGGCGTCACCTTGTCCCCTTTGACGATACCCCCGAACACACCCAGTCAGGTACTGAGCAACATCACTCCAATAACACCACCCATGTGGGGAAACGTGCCCCCACTCCAGTCTCCCCTGGCCGCCCTCTCGACTATATCAGCGCTATCCCAACCCGCGCAACCTTCACCTCTGAACATTCCCATGCACCAACTTCCCTTCGCCGTGCCAATCGGGTTCAACAGCCAGTCAGGCAGTGCGACTGGTAACCAGCTGATCATCACTCAAGTTCCTATCGCAGGCCATCAGAATGTTACGGCGCCTAGCGCCCAGTCTACCGTTACGGTTTCCTCGATAACAGGCTCAGGTGAATAAAGAGATAATACACTAATTATACTAACTTCGTCCCCAGGGCCAGGGTAATTAGCGGAGGTGAAGGGACCCTGGGTACGAGGTTGATTATACACCTGATTGAAATTGTTGTGTTTGGTAAAACGTAAACTTGAAACCTTTAACTTCAGATTCTAAGCCTGCCAAGGATATTTAAAGCACGTTGAAATCTGTTTGAAACGTTTATAAACCCATATAGCTACACTCATTTGTTGTACCAATTATGAAATTGGAAAAAAAATAGGGTTTAATGTTGAAAGTTTATAGAGGCTAACCTTTCTTCAATTATTTGTTAGTGCATTTAATCTTTTAACCTCAACTTTACACTACGCCTGTTTCTCTCCCTGAGCTTCAGATTGATCAACTTTGCTATAATTTCTTTCAGCTGTTTCTTCTGTTGTCGATCAATCTGCATCCTCGAGCGATGCAACACAATCCAACACTCAAACGACAACGTATCTTCTACCCATCATGGGAGGTCCTTCTGGACAAGGTAAATACAGCTTTATAAGTGTAGTCGCGGTTTGTCGCACATAATATAGGTTAAGAAAGAAGATCTTGCAAGAAAAAGCATATAGGCTCAAGCCCTCCGGCGGGAGTCCGTCTATGTTAGAAGTGCTCTCAAGCTAGGGAGAACGTAACTTTCCTCTAGAAGGAAGAGCAATAGAAGAAGAGTAAATTTGTTGTGGTATAAATATATAGAAAGGATAATACCATCTTTTGCATGACCCACATTGTTTACACAGTTGCCAAACTTGTGACAAAATTATCTAGTTGCATCAAAGCGTATATCCCCATGTGTTATCATCTTCACCATCAAACCTCACTCAAACTTTTGTTCTCTACACCAAAGTCACGCATGTTGCTAAAGGAGCCTTCGATGAACCGATCTGTTATATTTTCATTGCCATATTTTTCCCCAGGTCACCTCTTTATCACCGCCCCTGACGGAACGCCACAACTGGTCGTCGACAGCGCTCATTTAAACCAACAACAATCCAATGTCGAAACCACAACGTCGGAAAAACCAGCTACGCAACAGGTATTTTTCGAATCCGACTGGCTCTCCAGGGCTCAAAATAACAGCAGGCGAAAAATGCCAGTTTACAGTCGGTAAATTTTGGCCAGTCACATTTACTGATAATTTGCTTGGCCCATCATCAACGTGTAAATTTATTTTCATTTCTCATTTCAACAAAGTTATTCCACGATGAGTTTTTTAAAAAGTCATGTTAATCAGAAAATTAGGTGTATTAGTGACCGTTTAATTGGGCTGAAATGAAGCTGACTGTTTTGAGCGGATATATCTTCGCCGTTCTTTTGAGAAATACTTGTCTGGCCGTAAAGGAGGGGGCTGGAGCTAGCGATTGAATTTCGTATTTTTTTGCACAGGACGGCGTATTTCAAGTGCAGCTCTCTCCAGCCATACTTCAACAACTCAGTCAAACATCGTTGGATATTCAATCTCCTCGGCCCAATGTTGTACACAGCATTCTGACACAACCTTTGCATATCGCCGGGCAAGTACCAGGTCAGCTACCGCAAATTCAAATGGCGCTGGCTCAAGTTCTTCCCAATCAATCCGAGGCTCAGAACCAGCCTCCGACGAACGCGCAGAGCACGCCGCCTCAAGTTCTGGTAAGTACATTAAGAAAGCTAAATTTCGATACAATTACATCATACTCACGTAATACAATTACATCATACATTATTTGCTGTAAAGATGGCAGGGAAATTTTTCAATATTACAATGTTTCACTAGATCCAAGCCGTACCATTGTCCACGCCCCAACGGCAAGAATTGCAGGCACAAACCACACAACAAGGAGCCGAACCAATCGCAACGTCACATCAACAACTGTTACAGCAGTTACTACAAGGTGACTGATACTTGTCTAATTTTATCATGTATTACACGATGTATTTCACCCAGTACAACAGGCTCCGTTCTTCAGCGGTTTAAAGGCGAGGCAACCCCGCTGCCAATATGAGCCTGCGTGAAATTTCGCTGATTTGGCCAATGCAGTTATTACAAGCGAAGTAATAAGAGTGAAAACGTGATTGCTTTGAGGCGCTGATCTCCTTTTGAGTCACTCTGCCGTAAACTTCTGTGGCTTTTAGCCTCATTATATATAGTATATATAGTTGAGTATTAGGTGTTCTCATTTTCTTTAGCTGTCGGGTCTAGGCGTCGTTAAATATATGTTAATATAATATCTCTCAGTACCTGAATGCCCCTCATTTCTGCGGAGTAGAGAAGTGTTAAATGCGCATGCTCGAACCACTATCAACAGCGGGCATTAAATCCTACAGTCTTTGCTAACAGTTATTTTCACCGACTATTATACGCGACAATTATTTTTGCGAAATTAATGGCCAATCAAATATGATAAAATAAATACGTGAATAACAATCTGTTTTATCACCTAAGGTCAAGGGAGCCCGCAGGTCAATGTACCAGAGGCCACACAAACGTCTGTTACGTCGACTCAAGCAAACAGTCAACCGACACAACTTAGTTCCCAGCTCCCCGCAACAGCAGCTCTACAAAATTTACTCACTCAAAACTTACAAGGTAAGTCAGAGAATTGCGCACTTATTGTTTGTTTATGCAGGAGCACGCGGATTTCATCATGGTTAATAGAAATAAGCTGGAGATCGATAGTGATTTTTAGTATCAGTGTATTTCCAAAATTTAAACAAAGTTGATTTCCTTATTTCAGGAAGTATAAACACAAAATTCGAACAGAATTACCTTCGAATTCATTGAAAAAAAAGAACCATTGAACTATATGTAAAACTACAGAACCAAATAATAGACAAGAATACGTTTAAAAATAGCTGAACATTTAACAGAAAAAAGGTTGAAGTCCTGTTTCTTGTGGTATATAGAACATTCTATAACACTGTGTACCATCGTGATAATAAACTGATTGACTTGTACAATGTAAGTTCCATCCAACAGAAGAGGGGCCTTTCTTTAGAAGGGAACGAACCATCGGTAATTCATTCTCAAGTTTTAAATAAATTTCCGTCTTATGAGCTGAAAGAAAACTGACATAAGTCCAATGACATCGTTGACTTTAAAGTGGCCAAAATCTTTGTTTACTTTCTATTAACTATGGTTTGACCGCGATGTTCTGTCTTTCCAGGTGTAAGTAACCCCCAGTCCCCCGCTCAGGCGCCTCAGCAACAAAAGGTATTCGTGGATCTTCAGAAGATCGTTCAGACCCAGGAACGCGAGTTGCGCGCGCGCCGGGAACTGGAGGAGAGACTCGAACAGGCCCATCGAGATAGTCGCAAATTTCAAACGGAACTACATCAGGCTCAGAAAGAGGCAGAGTCTTATAAGGACCGTCTCCAGGCTATTAAGGAAAAAGATAGCGACGATGAGCCCGCTGTTGGTAATGTCAGTGGTGTACCGTCTGGCGGACAGTTTGCGCGGCAACTGTTTATGCAATCTGAAGGTCTTGAGGTAGTACCATATTGTGTCTAAAAACTGCTTGATAAATTTTGGTTATTATGTTGTAGTTCCGCTACTTTTTTATGAGTGTTTTGTAATCGGTTTATATCACAATTTCTGCGTTTGTATAGGAATTGAGCACGATGACCGCTGACGCCGTAGACATGCTCAGTCAGGTGGCTCAAGAGAGCACCGCGGTGACACAGGTGGAAGTTGATGAAACCGTGGTGGACGAAGGGGATATTACATGTACATAGGGGATGATAGTACGAATGACTACAAGACGAGAAAGTACATGTTCTTATTGACAAAATAACACATGTACACGGGGGCGAATGTGAATTAATAAACATGTACGTAGGAATGACCAGATTTTAAATATTTTAAATTATATAATATTTTAGTGTATTTTACGGTAGTGGGAATCGCCTAGAATAGTTAGAAAGTAATAGTGAGAAGACATAGTTCTTGTCCAGATGTTTCACTGCTATTTTTGTCGTAGACAAACTTTTCTGAGGGTGCATATATTAATATAATCGCTTTGTCGAGGACTGAACTGCAAGTTGTTTTACAATCTGTGTGGTGCACCCTCATTGGTCGTACATATTTTAGTATAGTGTAATATTGTAGAAACTGTTCAGTATAGTTACTGCCAGGAATCGGTACCAAGGACAAACTGAAAACAATGTAACATTTTCGTATATTTTTCTAATGCATGCCTCCAGCTATGGGCCATTCTTGTTCCAGCAAAGAATGATATAAAATGACCCACAACTCAAAACACCATTTTGAGTAGAATTCCAAATTTCGTTTCAAAAATGTGCAAAATGCACTACGTGCGAAATATATATAATTGAAGTACGCATTTCACATTTGCAAGCAGTTTGTCTTGATGCTACCCTGGGGATAACTATGCAACAGACAGTTCTTTGCTAGCGTGGTAGTGGAAACATTGACATGCAGATTTGAGATGGTCGAGCAATACTTGAAGTGGCCATCTGTGGAATAAATAATTGCCTATAGTATTCAGTTAATTACTGTAGGGCCATACGATTTAGAACGGCAACACCAATGGCTCAGCTGGCGTATAATGAATCATTAAAAAAATCATATCACACTGCACAAAATCGCATGCTTGTTCCAAACATGTTGACCGTGCAGTCTTCTTGTACTTTGCCAAATCGCTATGGATTATAATAAATCCAAATCCATACGATAAGATTTATTTTGTGGTATTTGTGTGAAAAAAGGTTTTGCCGTCTTTGTCGGTTGCCATTTTAGATCGCAAGGTTTATTTCATTTCAACTTTTAGAAGTCATCTCATTGTGGCGGTACTGTAAATTGATATGGTATTATTGTATGATGAAAATAATTGTTTTAGTAAAGGGTGAGGTGCAGTGAATGAAATCGTGAAATGAGTTTGTTTTAAAAAAAATTCAATTATCTGAGTTGAAAATCATTATTTCTTCGAAGGGAAAGTTCAATTTTATGCAGATATGAGGTGAAGAGCAAGGCGTAGTAACCAAACCGCTCTTTTGCCATTCATATTTCTGGACCGACAAATGCCATATTTTGTAAAGGTTTTAAAGCATTTAAACCAAAACAGTGGGTTAAAATTAAACCCAGGGTTAGCGCTAATCCAGCTTTGAACAACTGGCCCCCTGGTCGAATTTTAGAATAAATTGCGTGCAACTGTTGCGTGTGAGTTGACGTCATATCGAAAACCGGAAACGAAACGTAGCATGTGAGTTTACTAATGATCATGATAACAATCGCAGAACTTTTAAACATTTAGTTTGTTTGCCATTTAAATTTTTATTTTTTGTGTTAGAGAATATATTATATCGTAGATTCATGCCTGCTGAAATGCAACAGAAAACTCTGCCTCTATTCGTACGAGGAGAGGTAGTTAAAGGTTTTGGACGAGGGAGTAAAAGCTTGGGAATACCAACAGGTGAAAAGATTGTAAATAACTGATAAATATCGCCGTATTATATTTGTATTGAGAAACGTATTTGGCAAAAGCGAGTATGTTCTGTTTATATACATGTTTAGTATATATCTAGGAGGATTTTGCATGTATTTGTGTACTTTTATACACATCTACTATTTCATTCAAATCTGCTGTAATTAAATGATGCAACTAAATATAAGAATGATACATTCATGCAACTAAATAAGATTGATGGAATACGATACTAGATGGCTCTGGAGTATTTTGCTTTGTTAGATGCTAGAGAAATGCCAGGCGTTGCTCAGCCTTGGCTTTTATAACTTAATATGTTCTCTTTTCTTAAGAATGTGTATGAGTGAGGGCAAATGACCCCCTGGTGGAATGTATATTTTAATGCCAGGCATGAATGACTTCACAACAAAAAGCTTGAAATACAAATGGTATTTCTATTGCTTTGCCCTAATCCGAATCACCAAATAAGCGAATTAATATGTTTAAGCTCTTGTGGGTCTACCACTCTGATCATTAGCAGGGTTCAAAGTCAACTATTACAATTGCGACCTTTTGGTACCAGTAGTGGTCAGGGCCGAAACTATATGCAATAATTCCTTGCATGTATGTTATACTCAATGTTTTCACAAAACCAACACTGTAAAATGGTAAAGTAATAGAAAAACTCGTTTGAAAAAGTGAAACACAACATTTCTCCCATAATATAAACAGGTCTCAATCATTTCTGTCTGTATAATAGAATCTCATGTATGTTATACTCAATGTTTTCACAAAACAAACACTGTAAAATCGTAAAGTAATAGTAAAACTCCTTTGAATAAGTGAGTTACAACATTTCCCCCATAATATGAACAGGTCTCAATCTTTTCTGTCTGTATAATAGAATTTCAGCTGTAAATTGTGACATATTCTTTAGCAAATTATCCTGAAGATGTGATCAATAGTTTACCTGAATCCCTTAATACGGGTGTTTATTATGGTTGGGCAAGTCTGAATGGAGATCAAGTTTATAAAATGGTTCTTAGTGTAGGATGGAATCCATTTTTTAAGAATACAAAGAAATCAATGGTAGGTTGAGAAACCTGAAATATAAAATCCTTATTTCTGCTGTGTGCTCATTCTAATGTTTTATGTTGATTTGCCCACAGGAGACACACATTATTCACACATTCGCACAAGATTTTTATGGGTCAGAACTTCGTGTGTGCATAACTGGATATATACGGCAAGAAAGCACGTTTCCATCTATGGGTTGGTACAAGTTATAAAATTTGAACAATTATTGTAACAATTATTGACTGAGGTTGAACATAATTAATATGAAATATTATCAAGCTGAAGTTACACTCATGTTACATTCATTGAGCTGGTTACATTTGTGTTTCACATCCCTGTTCCTTTGGGACACTGATATCTTCGCCATCGGTGTGACGTAATGACGTGATACGACTATTTATTGACGTTAATGACGTAAAAGCCGTGATATCTTTTAAATAAATGATAAAATTTAAGGCCCAGTTAGACGGTGCAATTTGCAATGCAATTTTACTTTGAAGAGATGTAAATAAGTGAAGAGGCTTCAAAATGTAAGTGTAAGAATCGTCCATGTGGTGTAATAAGCATAAAAGTTCGGCATTTGCCAAATTTACATCTCTCAAAAGAAAAATTGCACCGTCTAACAGGGCCTTTAGTTACTGCACGAACTGTTTTAAACTTTCAATCTGTAAATTTCTTTCTCCGTTTATTTTAGATTCCCTAATTGAAGCGATTCAAAACGATATCAGAATAGCAAAAGAAGAACTTGATAAGCCTGAACATCAAGCATACAACTCACATGCATTTTTAACCGACAAATCTTTGACTCAAAAAAGTGAAGTAATTTTAGGATGTGCTAGTTAGTTTATTAATATTTGGGTAAATCCATGTACACTGGCAAAATTGCCACCACGGGGCTGATGTTTTACAATTTCAACGGACTGGGAAACGTAAAGCCTGAAGGCCCGTTTGCACTTGCAATTTTTGTCCGATTTTATGTGCGATTTTCTTCTTTTGAGAGATGTGAGCTACACTCAAGGGCGTAAATCCATGTTGGAAAGTGGGAGGGGGGGGACACCTCAGTTTGCCATAGATGAGTTAATGCGTATGATTGGCTGCTACGCTTAGAACATTTAGGTTGTAACATTTGTTCATACTTGTAGTTCTATAGTGCAGTTAGCCAATATATAGCCAATTACTTCATGTATCAATTCAGGGGCGCAGGAATATGTTCGAGATTGCGTGAGAGGGGGGGGGGGTCACCAAGAGGCGCCACCATGGTTGGCGCCGAGCTTGAAAATTTTTGAAATTTCTTAAGATCCTTGCTTTTGAAGTTGTTTTGAGAGCAATTACGCGAGACGATACATTTAGCTTAGCGAAGCAATTGCTGCTGTCTTTCTTCAACGTATGAAACGTTAAAACTATATTGTGATGAATGAAAACTTTGATCACATCTACATGTGTCCGGACAACCCGAATATACAATTTTGACAGAGCATACGTAACTAATCACTCGTTCACATCTACCAAAAGAAGAAAATCGCACAGAATCAAGTGTAACGCCCTTGCTGTAACATAAAATAAGCATAAAAGTGTGAATACATGCTTTTTAAAATAATATAATAGCAAATAATAGGTTTTCTGAAGGGCAATTACCAAATTAGATGCCGGCAGAAATTACTAGATGCAGTGAGTGAAAAAGGAAACTTTACGTTAATTAAATATTCTTAAACGCCATTGAAAAACGATAAAAAGGCAAATTTAGTATAAAGAAACCTCGAGCAGTCGCAGTGAACGAATAATAATCCCACAATCACCACATAGAGCCATTGTCGTATATACTCACCTTCAGCTTTTGAAGTCGCATCCACTGCGTGACACGCCAATCTATCGGTTTTCGCTTTCTTGTCCTGTTTCGTGGCGCCGTAGTTTTTGGCTTCTCCCATATCTTGGATAACCACGATGTTTTAATGGTCAAATGCTTGTCCTAGGTAAACTGTAAAGTTGCCGCAAGCATGTTTCATGCTCATATACAAACATTTATCATGAATAATCGCACATGTGTAATGTGTTATCATCGCTTTTCAAAATGGTGGATTCGTCAATAAAACATTGCATATTATATAATAAAAAACGGTTTATTAAATATTGATAATTTGATAAAACACCATTGATAAAAAACAACTTTAATGCCTTAAAAAATACTGCAGCCGTTTCTTGATTCCTTTCGTGGAAATTTTATGGAAATTTAAACATGTTGTTTGCGAAATTTTTGTTCAATTTATGGAAATTCCAGCCTTACTCGATGGAAATTTCAAATTTGAAAATGGAAGCACTGCCATTGTTCACCAGTTCACGGGGCTCACGGCCATACTCACGGCGCCATATTCAAAAATCTTTTCTTTCGGTGCATAAAAGCCTGCGAAAATGTTGTTTTTAATACGAAAAGAACAAGGTTTTCTATGAGTTTGAATACGCAAGGTGTGAAGCAAGTATTTCTAAACGTTTTAATCTAATAATACTGACAAAATATAGCAACATTGAAATTAAATTTAAAGACCTTGTGAGACAAAGAGGCGACGTTACTAAAGTTGCAATACGAGGTCAAGGACAAAAATCATTGACAAAAACACACTTGGCAAGAAGATAAGCACTTCGAAAACTTTGATTTATAGCATTTTCGGTGAGTAGAAAGAGAGTTTATCCTGTTTGGGATGAATAGACGTTTTATTTTTGAATCGTTTTTCGGAAAGGTTAACCATAAGAGATGAAGTTTTTAATAATACAATATATTCAAGTATTCTTAAAAAAAGCGCGTACATTTCAAGCAATTCTCATTCAAAAACGATAAAGCTTTCTATTTGTATAATTAGGCGTTTTTCATATTTCCTTTAGACTGTTTCATAGGCCTGTCAAACCTAATAGTGCTAATACTCGTTAAAAAATGCCACTTTAGTAAACATAAATACAGTTGTTTTATAAATTATAAAATTCACATTTTATATTCCCAAGGGCAAGAGATATTTTGACATGATTTATACAAAAACCAGGCAATTTCACCGCCGGGTTATCTAGGTTTTAGTTTCGATTTTCGCTGAAAAACAGAATGTTCCTTACTTACTTTGCAATCTGCCAGTTAGCAAGCGTGCCAGTTTGAATTATCGGCGATAACTGTAAGTCATTATTTTTGATTTGAAAGATTTTAGCATATGATTTTAGCAAAAGACCAAGCTTATAACACCGCTTTCGAAGACTACTGATAAAGAGATGGACGAAAGCCAAGATGAAATATCAAGCGAACCAACTGAAAGGTTTGAATAAGCCATTTATAGGTTCGGGAGAAGAATTCATATAATATAGATAATGAATTTTAAATATGCCGATTATGTTTTGCAATCGTATTGTTGAGCTCTCTTATTTCTCTGCCAAGCATGTTTCACTTGATATGACTGAATCTTCCGTTTCTTAAACTGGCCCTTAGTTCAAAATGTCTATTTTAGGCAGTTCTTATACTAGTATGAATAGTGTGAATAGTATTTTAGGGCCTGTTTATATGATCCCGTCTAGCCGGGACGGGATGTTTTCATCCCGCTTAGCCGGGAAACTCGCCTAGGCGGGATGGCGTGTTTATATGGAGTTCATTCTGTAGTGCAGGTTCCTTCGACGGCATGTTTTATTGTAGAAAACGAATATGCCAATATATACACATGCTCATAATGTATGTTAATCGCGAATCATCCCGGCCAAGCGGGATGGAGTGTTTATATGGCAATTTCTCGTCCCGTCTAAGCGGGATCCCGGCAAGAAGTGCCGGGATCCCGCCTAGGCGGGATGGAAAAGTGGTCATATAAACACTAATTAGTGTTTGTATTACAAGCGGGATCTCGGAAACTGTCCCGTCCCGGCTAGGCGGGATCATATAAACAGGCCCTTAATATAAGGGTTTTGAACGAGGGGCATCACCATCCCAAGTCAAACTAGCTTTCTGCGGCCCTGAACTGCCGTTACACACCTTTTTAGGCTGGAAAAGAACGAATCTAAAAAAAGCCAACCCGTTGTTACCTCATCTGAGAGTGTGGTTACCGCGAATGCTGAACCAAACCGCCCAACCGTACAATTTTTGAACGTGAAACCCGAGACTAAAAATTTAGAACCCGGAACTTGTTACTTGATTTCCAAACCAAATGCCCCCGTCACGACAGCCGATACTAAGGCATCCATTTCGAGTGGCCAAATCATAAAAATTATCAGTTCCACGGGAAGTTGTGTTCTCGTTTGTACTATTAAAGTGCCACCAGATGGTGGACCTGTATCACCACATCCTGGTAATAGCCAACCAGCTAGTACTGGTGGTCCAAAGCAAGCAACCATTCATCCAAATGTCACTGAACCAGCACGAAAAGAAAAAACGGGTGCAACACCTTCAAGAAGTAACCTGTCACCCACCAGCCGGAGTGATCCACTTACCATCCAGAGTGATCCACCTACCATCGTGAGTGATCCACTCACCATCCAGAGTGATCCACCCACCATCAAGAGTAATCGACCCACCATCCAGAGTGATTCCTCCACTATCCAGAGTGATCCAGCTACCATTCCAACCACTATAGAGCATGCGGCACCGCCTGTATCCGATAATCTTCTTGTTACCATACCAGAACAAGAACTATTTACCATTCTTCGGCATGGTAACACCAGTCAGATAAATGGGCGATCGTTTCAAAAGAGAACCATACATCAATCAATTTCCAAAACATCAAAAAATGATGCTGTTGAAAACGAAAAAATAAACTCTACTGACACCACCATTGTGAAACCTTCCTCTGTAGATGGGCAAGATTCGTCATCTACTCCAATTCGCCACAAGCAAACATTGCCGAATCCGGTTGATTCGACTATTCCAAATAATAACCATCACTTTACAAATGGACAGATAAGTTCACCATCTCTACAGCTACCATGCTATGACCTAGCTACCAACCATTCAGCAGTTGTAAACAGCGATCATAGCTTTGAGAAGGGACAGATGAACTCCACACCTATCTCCAGAAATCTACCATGTTTTGACAATTTAAGTACGACAACTACCAGCGGCAATTCGAGGAAGATTAGCTCAACAACTGTCAGCGATGACCATCGCTCTAGAAATGGGCTGACATATTCTCCATCAACCCCCGAAGTTCCACCGTGTCACATCCAAACGGCAATCCTACCCAAAGACAGCCCGCTAAAAAGTTCTTATTTGGATACACCCACCTGGGACCCCTTGTACCACCATATAGAGTACAATGATATAATCTCGGCGCTTCCCAACGATTTACAATACCTCAAAGAAAGCGAGCTACTTCCGCTTGCCCACGAAGATTTCGCGAAATATCTCGAAGATAGGAATCTTTATACCCCAACTGAAATGATGACGTTAGCCGATGACGATGGCGTGGTGCCTTCGTCCTCGCCACCGTTGCCAGGCGACGGTGACACTTACATGGACTCAAGTTCAGACGGAAGTCAGGAATACCCTTGGGAGGGTTTTGTTTCTCATGGTGAAAATATTGTAAGTAGAGCGATCTAGTCACTTCTCCAGCTGCACTGAGTGTATTAAATTTGGGAAACCAAATATTGGGAAGGATCCCTATTACTTTCTGTGTCCCGACCACGCCTTTGCGAACCCCTACTCTATTGTTCAGACCCGGGGCACTCTCTCTCACTTATTCCTGCCCCGTATACATTTCAGTACAAATCGCCTTCGGGAACTGACCTGGATCACCCGCAGTACGGCACTTTGAACTGGGGCCTGACGCCCACGATCATCTACAAAACACCAGGGCCGGACATCTCGTCGCAACATGTTGGTGATGACTACATGAAGTGTAGCATCAGCGCCGGAAATGTCGAGCTGCTGACCCCACCTCCAGCCAATTACAGGAAACTGCTGCGTCGATCTCGCAGGAGAATGCAGAGGAGACGTGTTAAAAGAAGGAGAATATATTTTGAAAGTATGGTTTGTGTGATTGATCATATTGGTAATATTATGACCGTTTGAAAATGGGTCTCTTCCACCAACACCGGCATTGCTTGCCTAATGTAGGTCCTGGGCAAGATACCCCCCGCCCCCACTTGGCGATTTCCCCCACTGGAATGTAGTCTTTTCTATCGCTCCAACAAAGCAAAATGCGAGACTAGGGTCTCATTTCTCCGGCACTATCGTGTGGGAACAAAATATTACCGCATGGTATAGCACTCTCTTAACGAACCTTTCAGCAATAGATAAACGGAATGAAACAAAAAAACCCCGGTAAATTTAACGCTACAGTTTTCTTAAAATTGATGTATTTTAAGATGATGAGAGCGATCAAGGACTCCAAGAAGTGCCAGTCAATGAAGGGGACAAGGTAAGACAGATATAATGCTTTAATCATTGTTTCAACAGTCACTGATCAATGATATTTGTCTTCACTCAGGCTATGGAACACACATTGGATACAGGTAAATATGTACATATTTTAAAATTATAGCGATTGCGCGGTGAATCCCCCCAAAAAGCAGTGTTTATATTTTCGACTGCATGAAGGGGTAAACGAGAGATGGAATAATTTTTCGGACATGCGCATGCAGGCCCTGCATTCACATTGTAACGATGTCATATGTCACACAGATAATTATGTACCTGATGATCCCATGTGGTTTGAAGATGCCACTGGGGAGAATGGTGGTGAAGAACAACCATTCAGGTAATGGTCCATTCGGTACAGTCTCGTTCATTTTAACCAAATCAGAATTTTGACCACGATCATGAAATGGTTGGGTAGACCTACTGAAAACTCATTTACAATGTTTTATCTTCAGCGATGGTATAACCGAACAAGATATTGCGGATTGCTCCGAAAATCTTAAAAATGCTTTGCCTAGCGGTGACGAGACTACGGACCCAGTAAGCTTCGTTTGTATAACGCATCTGTTATAACACTGACCATTTCGAAATCAGACGATCAGAATTTTGTATACTCACTTTTATACATTGTTTATAGTTTCACCTCCTCAACGAGGCAGTGGAGTACATTAAGGACCTTGAAGGAACAATTGATGGTATGATGGGTTATGGAGGTGGATTAGAAGGATTGTGCAGGAGGGGTTGGGACGAGGGTTCAGTAGGGGGGTGACCTAACCAACATCACAAGATAGTTTGACTGGATAGAATTATAGCTACTTCATATTGAAGAAATGTTTTTAAAAGTCTCATAAATTTAAAAATTATTTTCATAAAATCTCTTTATAAAAGCAGAATACGTTTACTGCTCTGTTGTAGTCTTTAGGAATTTTTTTGCAGAGCGTGTTTTTCTTATATTTTAAGACCTTGGTGGAGACTGTAATGATGCGAAAGTTGAAGTTCAAGAAGATAATGAACTTGAAAAATCAACCGAGTTGAATGCTAGTAGGTTTTATAAAACACTTATGGCAAATACGATTAGTTCAAGTCTTTCCAGACATTCAAATCCGATCCTGAATCAGGATGTAATTTCTGTATAGACGCCATAATCAGTTATAATTATCATCATTATGATTATTATTTTGAAAACAGTTTTCAGTGAGGTTAGGAAACTCTTCATTTCTTGTAGGTTGTGAGGATATTTTGAAAACTTTACCCACATTTTCATTTGATGATATGGATGAACAATCATCTCGCGGTAAGTCTCACGTTTTTGTCTCAGTAACGGCTATAAGCCGATGAAAAAAGATCTACTTAAAAATCTGCCTAAAATAGACCGATGCAAGCTAGGGTTCAAGTATTTTGTTTTGTATGCGTACAGTTAGTCGTTTCTGACAAAATAAAATAGATGAGAGTATGCATTAGTATGCATTATTAAGTTTTTCATTATATTTCTACATGCGAGCAGAAATCCAAGAGATTCTACATAGCATCGATCAGTCCTCGGAGAAAACATGTGAATTAAGTGCGGAGGGTTTTGGTGAAGAACCATCAACTGATCTTGCAATCCAGGGAAAGAAGCAAAACACACGGAAGAGAAATCGTCCGAGGAACTCCAACAAAATGCAAAAGAAAAAAAGATCCTCGCAAAATGAGCCGATGTCTAACAATACGGCTCGAAGCTCCCCCGAGGGTAGTTCAAGAAGTAAAAGGTATTGGTCCGTCGATAATCATCAATTAACCATTAATAAATACTCGATGTGATGTGTCAACAAGGCCAATATTGGGTCTGCCTTATTAAGTCGAGAATGGCGGGAAAGATTTTCGCCAAAACAATATAAAATGAAAATGGCGGGAACCGAACGAGTGGGAAAATTGGTTGTTAAAAAACGGGAAAATAGTTTCTCAAATAATACAGCAACAGAAATGGCGAAAAAAATTCTGTACATTTCACAGTATAAACGGTTAAAAAAAGGTATTGCGAGAATATGTCTTGTCATTACAAAATATAAACTGGAAAAGAGTAAATAGCTAAAACTAGTAGTGGTATAGGGCAGAGATCTTCACCGGCATTAGTACCTTGGGTTATGCCGAATTTTATTCAACATATAATTTTCTCCAAAACAGGTCTGTTCTCGACGGCAGCCCAAGTTCAAAAACGTCCAGCAGAAGTAACAGCCGAGCCGGAAGCCGCTGTGTAACACCCATCGCACCGAAACCACCTCCCGGGGTCTTGCTTAGTCCATCTTTGCCTGGCCTCATCCACCTACAGGTTATAGGCTCGCCGTTCAATTTACCGAAGCCGCCCATTGAAGTTTACTGTTTCTCGCCACCCCCGGTACGGTCACAGATGATCTCGCCTAAACTGGATGGCGCTCCACGGCTGATGCCCACCGCGGTTTCGCGACCAATATCCGATCCACCGAATCTTCAGAAGGCGCCCCCTGACCCACGCAATACTACCACAAGGACCGGATCGGATTGTCAGGGTTCAGGTCAGGTCACCAAACTGTTGCCTGCTAAGAAATACTGTCTTAGATCAGGGAGAATTGCAAAGTGAAAAGAAAAATGAAAGGAGAAATCGTGTAAGTTTCTTGGTTTATTATAGTTTTGAAGCACAAATACTGTGCAAAATGATGCGTTCAGATTTTAAGACCAAAACTGATACTCAGGAAAAGTTCTTTCATCACCTTGACTTATGATTGGTGTTTCTGTCTCCAAAGCAGAAAAAGGGAACTCAAAGTTGATGAAAATAAGTAGATGAATCAAACACTATGGAAAGCGGTTATGCCAAGCCCAACTGCCCAAGCCAAGGCCAGTATATTGTTGTGTGAATTTTTGTGTTGAAATGAGTCTGCACTAAATCTTGAGTTGTAAAACCTATAGTGAGTCATTGTTGTTATGTAAGCAGCAAAGAATAATTTTATTTGGTGCACATCAACCTAAGTCATTTCACCGAGATATGTTTCATGTTTTACTGAGATATTTACAATTTAATCCTTAATATTAAAATTTAAAGTTGTACAGTGGAACCATATGTACTGTATAAAGTTTAGTATTTGTGTTGATGTTTGAAATATTTAAATTGTTGCACACATTTTAGAATACAAAAAAATATGAAATGTACGTAACAAACACCAAAATTTTTATTAATGACATAGTCCTTATTTTCTCTTAAAAGTGAATGATTCTTATCTTAGCCAAATGCTACAGAATACATCATCCTGGGGGCCAGTTCATCAGGCGACCTCCAATAATGTGTATGTGTAGATGATACACTGACTGAGCACCATCTCTGCCATCATTGATTACTACAAAATATAAATTGTTTCATTATAAATATTCTAATCATCCAAACTATATATACCATACTAATGCATAGAAAAACATCCCAAATGGTTTCATTTTGTAGCTTTACATTAAGTTTTGCATCCAAATAATTTTTAAAACATACTTTGTTTTTTCGAAAGCTTGGTTAAGAGATTATAATTCATTAAAATGGTTTGGGTTGGTCACAAACACTATCTGCTGACTTACCAATTCTATAGCCAGATTCATGCAATCCTTCTTGTTTTGCAACTTTCTTGGCAGTCATCATTAAATGTCCCAGCAACTTGAATTTCAAGGAATTCATGAATTAAATAATTGGACACCATTAAATAATTCTTCAACTACATCAAACACATATGGGTACCTGTGTGTCATCTTCACTGGCCTCGGATAAACGAGCAATTGGTTTTCTTGGTATGACCAAAACATGTTTTGGTGCAACTGGATTGACATCTCTGAATGCTATACACTGTGACAAAAAATGATATAGGTTGTGAGGCTTCTTAAGGGGTAGGAATCACAATTAGGTTTAGGAACCAATTATACCAATGCTTTTTCTTAGTTGCTCTTTTGGACTGAAAGATCTGAACCGTAATTATTAAAAGGTAACCCTTACCTAACAAACCAACCCAGGGGCAACCCCTACTTTCCATACACCTTGGCCTCCCCCCACAGATTATGGGCCTGCACCCCTCGTTTGGCAATATATTTTATCTACTACTTTTACCTTGTCATCCTCATAAATCATATCAGCCGGTATTTCCTTGCGAAGTATCTTGCCAAATATTGTATCCCCCGTAGTATATTTCCCCCCTTGATATTCCTCTGACGCTAGCTTGGCTTTGGAAGCACCATCGTCGCACCCCTCGCCCCTGTTAGTGCAAAATTTCTCCACCTGCACACTTCTGGGTAAAAAGCTAAATGTCGCAACTGTTGTCACAAAAAGACGACGAGAGATTAGCGAAAATGGACGAAATGCAAGCGACATTCTCCAAGAAAGTGAAGAAACGCGAAACGTGAATGGAGGTGGTAATCCCTAATACTCGATACCCACCCGGGAAATCGTCTCATTTTTATATTTAACCGGGGGGTGTAAATGTAGGACACTTAATATCAGGATGTCACGCTCTCTCACAAAAAGCCTGGCAACTAATTACGAAACACGCGGTAGAAGAAATCCATCATGGCGGATTTTTATGTTCGTTATTATGTGGGACATAAAGGCAAATTTGGACACGAATTTCTCGAGTTCGAGTTCAGGCCTGATGGTAAGTGGAAAGAATATTAAGCAAAGTAATAGTTAAGCTTAGTTTTGTGCCATACTTTGTGTGAAATTTGGCGCATTTATGTGAAGTTTTTGTAACCGCTTTCTTTAAATGTTTGGTCATTTTTTCTCAGGTAAGCTAAGGTACGCCAATAACTCGAACTACAAGAACGACACCATGATCAGGAAAGAGGTGAGTAGACTCTCACAGGGAAAAATTCAAAATTTGTAGTAATAAACAAACATTTTTTTTACATTTTCAAACTTGTGTCAACTGGCCTTAGACAGTTAGACTAGTGGCCTATTGTTGGCACTGAGCACTCATAAAAGCATTCTCTGTAGCCTCTACCCCAATATATATTTCATTCTTCCCTTCTTTGCCCCAGTATTTACCATCCAATATGCCAAAACATCAAAGATCTTCAATTTTGAAAAGTCATCCTATACAGTTTAAATCAAGTCTTCTGTATGTAAATTCTGTATAGAAAACCAACCTGTGTGCCAAAGGCCTATAGTATTTGCTACTTAGAATGCACCCCATAAGAGTAATATGACATGGTGGATTTCTCATAACAAGGGAAATGCCAAAATTTACAAAAAAAATGTAATTTTTTAGGCTTTCGTCTCAAAAAGTGTTATGGATGAGCTGAAACGAATCATTGAAGACAGTGAAGTATGTATTGATATTCTAGTATGTTTAAGATGATTTGGGTGAGCATTTGAAAACTTGGCATGCTACTTACACAGTATTACTTCTTATGTAGATTTTAAAAGAAGATGATTCAGTTTGGCCACAACCAGACCGAGTTGGCCGGCAGGTAATATCACATGATATTCACCTAAGCTTGGTTTTGTCATTTTTTAGCTTTACATTTATTGATATTTTAACTGCATTACAATTTTTCTTAGGAACTTGAAATTGTGATGGATGGATTACATATTGCTTTTACAACATCAAAAATTGGATCTTTGGTTGATGTGAACCAGTGCAAGTAAGTCCATTAGCAGTACTCTAGCTGTGGCGTTCACAGCTACCTACAAGAATTACAAAATTGATTTATGTTAACACAACATGTCAAAAATCTAATACAGTTTAAAACTGTAAATGCGTACACAAAAAAATGTATCATGCAGAATTGCAAACTTCTATTCAACTGTAATATTGCATAGACAATGCTGCATATTAGTTGTTTGCAACAGCATGATTAAAGAATTTTAGTTGAGGGTGTAAGATTAAAAATTTTTTTGGCGATATTGACTTTTAAAATTATCGTTTTTTTTGTGGTGACAACATGCTATGGTAAGTAAAAAGAATTCCTAAATGAACATCCATTTACATTGAGTTATACAACCTAAGATTTATACAACCTAAGAAAATAGCCTAAGGAAAAGGGTTTTTTGTATTAGTACAGTAAATGAATTTGTGGTCAAGGCATATGGAAAATAGCTTAAACGTAATATGCTGTTATGTTCTGAATGTATTTGAATGCACACCTGTATTTGAGCCAAGATTATCAGTCATATTCTTTTTGTTCTATCAAGGACAGTTTACTAAGATAAAGTTTTACTTTATTTTAGTGATGCTGATGGTCTGAGATGTCTTTACTACCTAGTTCAAGACTTAAAATGTCTTGTGTTTTCTCTCATTGGCCTGCATTTTAAGATCAAACCAATTTAAAACAAAAAAAACATTAGTCTATTCTAGGACTTGAACAATGTATAAATCACGTAAATAACTCGCAGTGAAAAAGCAGACTTACGATTTAGAGAAAGATAACTTTGGCACATACGCACACTTCACGTTAATTATCAATAAGTCAAACAGACAGAAGCTTTGCACTTAAACCTGCTTATTAATAGGCGTTATGCGCTGTACTGTAGACTAACTTTGGATTTAGGCAACAGGAGGGAACTAAGATACCTAGAAAGAGCATACTCAAATTAGTATAATTGCAAAGATTAGTTGGAAATTTTTGTGAAATGCGGAAATTTGCAAATTTGTATATTTTTGTATTACGTAAAGAAATATAAAGGCCCGTTTACACTTTCGATTTTTGCTGCGATTTTCTTCTTTAGACAAATGTGAACGAGGGAATTAGTTACGCATGTTCAAATAAGAGCTCTTTTACATCAGAGCATTTGTAACTAGTTACTCTTTCACATTGACCAAAAGAGGAAAATCGCACATAAAATTGCAAGTGAAAACAGGCCTTAATACATAAGTATATAAAATTTGCCAACTTTTCATGCCATTTTTCATACGTTTTTTTAGCATGCTGTTTTCCGAAAGTGTCCTTTTTATTGCCTAAATCAGTAAAGAATTGATCTATAGCGCCTAACGTCTATTTCATGTGTATTACGTTTTGAACTTTGCAAGCTCACGAACCGGAACGTGACACAGTTCACAAGATGTTGTGTGGTTTTTCGAAAGATGGATTTATTTTTCGGTGCACAATAGTCCCAGTCCTTTTTCTTGCTTTTGTCTGCTCTAGACTTCTCTAGACATTGTTCGATTACGTTCTCATGCTCGGGTGCGCGAAAAAACCTGGGTACGAAGATATAAACGACTCAGTAGCCAAAAGACCTGTTCGGCTTGTATGCAAATTAACACATTTCAAATCAAATGGTTAAGTTTTTTTGGCTATTCCATGGTCACAACATCTGAAATGGGTTCATTTGCATGCAAGCTGAAATGGTCTATTAACGTTTTTTAAAAACTTGTATTTTATGCAATAAAGTTGAACAAACTTAGACTCACTGTCCCTGTTATTTTTAAACAAAGCCATTCGGTTATGAGCAGATATTATTCCCAGATGGCAATAACACACTTTGCACCTAGTCAAGGATAAGAAAAACTGTATATTCTGCAACGCTGGGGCTGATTGTGAAATGCTAGATAGCAGTATTCTACGAATAGTTCAATATTTCACACACATTGCAGTTAAAAGGCATGGTGATGTGAGCATTAGCTAAAAAAGGTTAATTTATATTTACAGCAATTGAGCTAGTATAGTATGTAGGTTATAGAACTGAATCATTCATTTGGCAACTACTAACGAGTGAAGAGTTTTTAAAATGGCCCTTGGAGTGTAAAAAATTTCTTATTTCCCAACTCATACGCTAAGGGACTTCAATTTGTGGCTTGGGTCGCCTAAAGTCTGATGATAAAGTTTCCTACAAGAAATCACCAAGTTGGTGGTAATTACCAATCATCTATAGCCCCGTTTACAACACACTCGATTTATTGGCACGGCTAAAATGGGTACCTCCGTGCGCAATTTTATTTGTCCTCAGGCTACTAAAACAATGGACGGGCACGGATGAAATATGCGGCACGCGTACTGTCTCATTTTGGTCGTGCCGTGCCAATAATTCGAGTGTAGTGTAAACGGGCTATAGTAAACATGGATAGATTAGAGAGCTTAAGCATGCGACGTTTTTGTCAACACGGACGTCACGCGTACAAAATTTTGGTGTTATAGATGGCGTCAGCCGTTTTTGTTTAAAATCAGAAACCGCAGTCCGTGCAGTTTCCCGTCGTAGATTTTAAGCAAGAACGGCTGACGCCATTTTTAGCCGTTAAATTTTGTACGCGTGACGTCCGTGTTGACAAAAACGTCGCAGGCCAAAGACGACGTAAGAATGGCGAATAAAGGGCGTGGCACATCCCTATTTGGGACAGTGAACTGTAATAAATAACTGAAGCGATACTTCCTCATTGTTTTCGTGAAGCCAAAATTGCGGGCATTACCTCCAGACACGCGTGAGCATCATGCCATTTATTCGCCATTCTCACGTCGTCTTTGACGCTCCCGTCCTCAATCTAAATCTATCTCCGTTAATTAATGGGAGTTGGGAAATACTACACAGTATTCATACATCACACGTGGGTATTTACTTGAAATCCTTTATCTTAGAACACTATCGTAATAGAAATTGGTAAAAGTTCACTGAATTTCTCTATTTCAACTTTGATTGTTATATATACGCACGTCACTCAGTTTCAAATACAATATTCTTGATTACAAATATATTTTACATTCAATTTAAAAATTACTAAAATAATTGTGAATATATGACCTTGAATACATAAATTGAAATATTAATTAGCGCGATCGAAGAAAACTACAACGAAAGTTTTACTACAATCTAAACCTTGCCAGGAATCATTTCTATCGGTGAATGTTTATATAAAATTGAATATACAAAAGTGTCGTTTGTTGTTGCCATTTTTCTAAATACAGTACTACCTAATGTGCAGACCCGCCGTAAGTGAAAAAGGTTTTGAAAACCTCAAAAAGTCAATTACGCATGCTAGACATTAGACACATATATATGAACATTACAATACTTTAAGGGTGCACCGTGAACCTCTCGACTGCAAACTTCAAAGGTTTGATTTATTTTCTAACCTTTTCACCTTAGGTTATTACTATTATTGCTTTGATAATGAAAGTAACCATTTATAAAGTTTGTTTGTTGGTAAGGATTATACTATTTTATGTAGTTGGTTGGAGAGGGGAGGGGGCATTCAGCCGTGATACTGCACGACATTGTTACAGGGTTAGACGAGGATACAAATATGCACGATTGCACATCACAATGCGTTAAGAAAAAGAAAGGGAATGCGAATAAAGAAAGGGATTCGAATATATTTAGAGAAATATTCAGTAATCCAAACCACAACCTATCGAACTATTATCTCTAAACGACAGATGTCGAGAGAACGCGAAGCTGATCTCATTTCACCCAAGGTTGAAATAAGAAACATTTTTTAAATAGGTGTCTGAGCTAAATTTTCTAATAACTCAGACATAAAACATGGTTAATCTTCTCATTTATGATGTTTAAGATTAAGCCACGCCTCTGTTGTGAATATTTATAATAAAGTTTATAGTCGGAGGTTTAGGGCTATAAATAACTGTTCATGGGCACCAGGCCTTTCTCGGCGGTCCTGCTTATGTTTAAAATTTTGGCCAACACTAATTGCCTCGCGCTATTCTGCGTACAAATATAGTTGTATTGAATGCTAACTAATCATTTGAACGTCTCTCTTTGTTTATTGCTTACTTTCGATGACTCGACACAAATTCTCGCGGGAACATTCCTTTACGTCCACGAATTTCCCCGCACCACCACGTGCTGTCTTCCTCGCGCAGCACTTTAATGACGTCACCTTCACGGAATGAAAGTTCCTCGCTGCCCTGCGCATCATATGGAAAGTCGGCCTTGACATATTTTGTCGGGGGTTTGATCTCTGTTCGTTTTTTCAAGTCCTGAACCGTAGAGTAGGTCGGATCCTCTTCTATATCATCGCCGTAATCTATCACTAAAGTTGGAATAAAAAATTAAAAACAGGATAGTGTTTTTTTCAATCGCTTAAAATCACCTGTTGTTAGGTATAACTTTGATTAAATCCTAGTATTCCTAAGTCGAGAATCCTCTTTAATAATATTTGGTTCCAAAGCTGAGATTTTATTGCTTTTCAAGCATTTTTAAAAGGGTTGAAAAAATCAGACGAGTTTCTGAGATATCAACACGGTCAAGCACGGAACAAGGCTAAGATAAAACAAACAAAATTTAAAATTTTTATCTTAATAATTACGATACCCTTTTTAGCAATACCCGACCCATCATACTTTTAAATTTATCCATTCCTATTCATATTAAGAGGAGTTTTTACCACCAACTTTCCCGTCTAAGATATGTTCCCGTCTCTAGTATGAATTCGGCTATTGTTACACCTGATCTCGTTTCAACAAAACTTGCAACTTGGTCAGTATGAACTGCTCAACAATATGGGAGATTGCTCAATTCACTTAAGCGCACGAATGATTGCCATCAGTTGTCAAATGTGCTCAACAGCAAGTAAACTGTCAAACGCATGTAAAGCTGTCAGAACTCAGAAATCGTGCCCTGTTCTAACCGTCAACAACATCGCTTACCGTTAGTTTTTGGTACAGTGTTCGCAACCGTAGGTGTAGGTGGCAGACTAACTTTTGCCATGGGGTAATTTGGCTGTCGTTGTGATGACTGTAAACCAGTCTTCTGATTACTCTGCGTCGTGTAGAAATTCTCGTAGAATATTTCAGCTAGATGAATTGAAATGAAATAAGAGTGCTGATAGGGAAATGCACAATTTATGCATATGTTGATCATATAATTTTGACACAAAAGTAAACTTGTGGCGTTTCGTCGTGAATTGTAGCATATAGTGCATTCATGCATAAACTAGAAAGACAAACTATAACTAAACATGCATAAACTATAAACCCGAGTCGTGAATTCATGCATAAACTATAAAAACAGCGAATTGTAGTTCTGGCGATCTCGTGTGTCTTAGAACCACTTACCAGGCCTCTCGCATCCGGTTTGCTTTGCACTTAGGAACAAATGAAGATCCGAATTAATATCGCACTGTTCTAGAGACTTCCTTACTTCTTCGCAATGCTGGGAAAAACAAAAAAGACACGCATTCAGGCGCCGCAAAAATTCCGCCTCGTGGAGAACCGCCCTTAAGCCCTAATTCCACGGGCTAAATTCAAAAGAAACAGGCGAAATATTTCGCATTTCGCCGAGAAAAAGCGCACGTGGAATTAGGCCGTTATAGAAAGGTCTGACATGCTCGAAAATTTCCGTTTCAGTTATAAAAACTGCGGTATCCAATGTTTAATATAGATATATAGATATATAGATTTTTACAAAATTAGGATGATATCTCTGAGTTAACTTATTATGAATTATATTTCAATTACAAATTTGTTTTCGCGAAAAGATCACTCAACCAATGCAATTTGCTTTGACAAACCTGGTCAACCCTGACGCAGTTCGTGGACCCGAGGTTCGTGTACGTCCACATACTATTTCGTAGAAAGGAAATCCTTTCGGTTTCAAGTTCTTGGAAAGTCTAAAAATTTAAGAATTACATGGGATTACCCCGAGCGATGGTTGACACGGATTAAGACGAACTAGACCAACAAACTTACATTACAGCAGGTGGTCATTTCTCTTTCCCATTCTTTACGCGACTCTTCCAAAGCTCTTACTGTGCTTTGATAGTTTGCATCTAATAAAAGTTTGAAATTAGCCTCGAGCAAATTGATAAGAACTATTTTTTGGAGGTTTTAACAAGCGGCAGGGGTGATTTCGACTCATCGGAAAGAGCTTAGAGTTGACTTAGCTTGTTTAACGTTGGGATACCTAATGATAGCTAATGGATAACTAATGATAGATAGTTTTATTGAAGCAAGTTTCGATGTGATAGGAATTAAATATCACAATAATGTAAAATTCTGCATGAGCAGTTTGATGCATATACATGTAAATCATGAGAATATAGAAAAGAGGCAGCTGACTGCTGGTGCTAGAATCCTGAAATGAAATTAATATTTATATCAAAGTGGAGTGACAACTGGCAAAGAACGAAATGCACTTACCAGCATTTTCAACTGCCGTTTTCGCCTTCGATAATCTTACACGAAGCTAGGCGGGATATGGTATGTTTGTAAAATGCGGAAAATGATATATTAGAATCGGCATATTGAAAGCGGGCAATTTAGCCACAGCAATATACCGAAATTTACGATACACTGGAAACCCTAGATATACAACCTTGTTGAATTTATCAGCATTAATTCACTTCACTTACTGAATGCTAATTCACAGGAGTATGAATTTTGTGTAACTTTGTCTGCCTGATTCTAGTGGCATTTTTGGACATTAAGTAACAGATTTACGATACTCATGATGTTCGAAACTTTCTTTAAATTTTCATTCAAGGATATTCCTTTACATCTCATATCAAAAGAAAACCGGTTTACTGATAATACTGGTATATTGTTTTGATATACCGATACCGAAAACCTCTTATACTGAGCATAGCCGCATTCTCTATGATACGGAGTATTCTAGCTTAGCCTGGTTACAAATCTGGTTAGGATGGTCTTTCAGTGGGACTAATGAATTTTTACCTCTCGCCTTGTTTTGGCTATGTACACACGAGCGTTTCGAGCGTTTTCACTTTCGTTTTCATACCAAAACGGTTTCAAACACCGTCAATTTAAAATAGAAGTTAAAGTTAAGTTATATAAAGCATATTTTTCCTCGGTCGTGTGAACAGGACGTCAAAACAATAAAATAGACAAAAACGATTTTGAAAACGCTCGAAAACGACGCTCGTATGAACATAGCCTTTAAACTGGTATCGGCAACATAACATGGCCGCTACGGCTATTGTCGGGTTGTTCCCTGGGAATGAGCAAAGATGCTCTATGATAACTCCAAATGTACCAACCTTTTCCTCCTCTTTACTTTGCTGCGAAGCAGATTTCTTCAACGTGTCCTCACACTGATCGTGTTCTCTGCATTTTTGTTCGTAATTTCTTTTTGCCTAGGTAAAAAAAATATGCTTGGTTAACGCAGGTTTGCGGTGGCAGGTTTGCAGTTCATCACAAAGGCAGACAACACAAAGAGTGAACATACTTTTACGTTGTTTTCAAAACAGTTCCTTTTCTCTTTCTGCAATTTTTTCACATTCTCTTCAATCTACAAGAATTCCGCAAAAATATTACCTGTACTCAAACTGGGCGAATTTTCTGAACCGATTCGGCAATATTAATAAATAGCTGTAAAGTTTAATGCGTTGGACTGTATAAATAATAAGTTGTTCGCTTAACTAGGTACAGATTTTGCCAACCAGAATCGCGCATTTACCTATTCTGGTCTCTGCTACTCAAACGACCAATTTGCGAGGTTAAGCATACGGATGATCTAATCATGCATTATTTTTTTAACATGTTGAAAAATTCTCGAAAATTGAGAGGGCACGTGATCAGCCTTGGGCAGGGCCTTCGCACGCCTAGGCCCAGGCCTAGCCCGCGGTGTGCAGCAGCCTGGGTTCGAGGTAGAAACTTAGAATAAGAATTTACGCAATTCAGAATAAAACCATTGAGAAATAACAAATTGTTCGATGAAAAGTGATTGAAAACAGGTACATTGCCTACGAAATAGATGTAAAAGGGAAAAGCCTCAAGATTAAGAATGAAGTTGCCGTTCTGTTTTAAGTTGGAGTGATTTAGCAAAAGTTTAAGATGGATGAGTGCAATGGATGAGTGAAGACTGAAGATCAAACGCCCAACCTGTAGTGCGACCGTGAGTTTAATCGTACTTCGTGGTTTTTAATGATGTAAACTTGTAATCAATCATACAGTCATTTATGCCGTTCGTTTATAGAAAGCCTCTCTTAATAAAAAGTTTCTCTTTTGGCAGGGCTTGTCTAGATCTCTTTCTCTGACCCGTTGCCTTTTCTACATGTGGAAATGTGCATAGTGTATTTTTACCGGTTTCCTTTTGTTTTTTTGATCCTCCCTAAATTCCCTGACTTCTCGATCAATTTGGTCAATTAACTGCTGACTGAACTCCAGGTGAGCACGTCCCATACTTTCAGTTTCTGGAAATTGATACAATTGATGTGAAAATTGTACCAGCATGGAGGCATGTGAATGAAATAAATTTTGAGAGATCTTCCACACCTAGAACCTAACCAGATACAGTTACAATAGTGATTTACTTCTGACAGACAAACTACTTCTTCCATCTTTTGCAATGTGTGCTCTTCTTTAAAAAGTCTTAAATACATGTAAATATCTATTCGAATATCACATGTACAGACATCTAATACTGACAAACAAGGTATCCATGACAAATCTGGTTACAAACCTTGCCTGAGGACATCCCATGACTGCCTCAATGTGCTGAAAAAAGTAAGAAAAAAAACATGTCACAATTTAGAAGTAAAAACACATTTGCTTGCTATACTGACTAGATCTCCAAGCTTTTCACCACCCAAGTGACTCTTCTGAAAAGTGCATACCCTATTTCAACTCCATTCTCTCCAGTTTTTGCAAGCTTTAGCAATGCTTTGCCATATCTTTCTTCAGCTTCTGCTCTGTATAGGAAATTTAGCCACAATTGATCCACAAGTGTACATTCAGTAACTCAAATCTTTCTTTATTACAATAAAAACTTTCAATGCATTAGGCCTTTAAATTACCTTTGTTTAATAAATTCTTCATAGTCCACACACATTTGTCTGCCATCTTTCACCCGCTTACACAATACATCAAATCCTGTTGTACTGTTAAAATCGCTGCCCTGTTGGATATTAATAAATAATCATCTGTCTTACCGGTACCCAAGATGAATAAAATTTTTTGACATTAGAGAAAGCAAAATTCAAATGAAACTAAAAATTTAAAATTGTTCTATGAATTGCATTTGTGTGTTTCTTCAGTGGGGTTGTTATGGCTCTATATTGGTGAGCACAAGCAATGCAGTGAGTATATATTTTACCATAATGGTGAATTTCCACTTGCAGAAAAACAGTTGCATACTTTGAATTTTGATAGAATAAATAAATTAGTTCAGCTTGACTGTTCTCATTTCAAAAGAAAATATGCAAAAATTTTGCTAGGAAACCATTCCTCTGCAAGTGAAAATCCAGCGTAAATGCAGATGTAATCTCATTGTGATATAAATTGTATATATATTGTCATCCTCATTGATGTCATGTCCAGGAGGATGGTATGTATCATTAGGCAGAATTTGATGTGCCAGGAGGGGTAATTGCATCTAGTCCGTTCCACCCCAGATGGCCTGGGCCTCTCTGTGTTAGCCTGTCCCCACCCCTAGTAGGGGCCAAGTGGGCCTCCTGTCTATGCTGTGTGTCAAAGGTGACTAATATAAATGACAATTCACAGACCCCACCTTATCGACACCCACCATATTTTCTGTGTAACATGACATAACATGTTTTAATGAGCTTAAGTCTATTTTATTTGATACCAGGGAGATTTTGCTGGTAACTAAGGGAATACTGCAGTCCTGGTTTTTCTCAGTGAATATATTGTATATTGCATGATAATATATACAGTGTGTGCATTACCAGGTAATGTAAACAGTACTCCGTAAAAGGGAAAGATGACTTACAATGAAATATGAAAACACTCGGCCGTCAGGGAAACTCAAAGTCACGCACTGAGATTTAATCGACCCAATGTTAGTTTTATACGCGTACATGCCGCGGATTTAAAAAAACCCGTATCTTTGACTTCACATTAACACGTAAACATAATATTTATCGGTCCAACAATGGTATGCTTCAGCTAACAATTTTATTACCGCTAGCCGACGAATGATAGCAAGAACAACAATTTCCACTCGCATAATATTTTATACGATTTAGAATCTTAGCGATCATTTTCGATTTTTTTCAACATACATACAAGATACTTTGACAGTCGCCGACATTATACAGAGATTATTTTAAAGTTTACTTCCTGCTTTCAATGAGCGAGCATTATGTATTTAATTCTACGCTGGTCTCTGCGATTTTACCCGTAAAGTTAAACACTAGCACACTTAAAGAGAACATCAAACAATATACTCACCCAGAAACAGTCGACAAACCGCGTTTTTGTCATGATTGGTTCACGTTTTGTTGCAAATCAAAAGACTTCTTTCAGACCATTTCACAACACTAATTTCGAAACAATTTCTGAGTATCGTGTATATTTAATACGTACGACAACTTCCGATGCCATCCGACAGGATATTGTAAGAATACGCACCGGAACACATTCCACAACAATTTTTTTTTAATAAATTCCCAGTAATTGCTATACTTGCGAGTCATTGAAATTCAAAAAAGTCGCAATTACTAGTTAACGATCTATATGCAACTATCTTATTCTAATAATAAATTTTTATTTAAAATACATCGCAATAATTTATCCGTATTATGGCGGTTTTCCACTACAGGCGGAATTTTTCGCCTGATTTTCTTTTCAAATGTGAGAATAAGACCGAAGAACCACAGTTAATAGAAATAAGAAGCGGTTCTCTTGACCGGTCAAGTAATAGCTGCAAGCTGCAATACACTCATTCAACAAAAACGTCACTATCTTGGATCGTGATGTATTGTGGGACGTGGGTTACGATGGATAAAAATTACATTTAAAGCCATTGATCTTGTGTTGAGTCAGTTGAGATACAACACAAAAGAAATACACTTAACATTCTTCGAGGGTTATGAGGAAGTAGAAATCACTTTGCCCACCATTTTGGAATTTTTCGAGTCACTCTTTTCATACGTGTAAACAGACTTATCCTCATTTTTCCCAGGGATTTGTTTTCTTTTTAAAGTTTGCCCGTTTATATAACCACAAAAACAAATGTTTTCGCTTTCTGTCTTCCTTTTCATATTGATTCAAGCTTGATGCTTCAATGCATTGTAATAATTGTACTGACATGCTTTCATCTTTTTCGTTATGCCCGGCCGTTTGCAAACATCTTTGTTGATTTTCCAAAACAAGGCCGTTTTAAAACTGATAATATGATAGATATATGCGGTAAGCATCTACAAAATAGGCAAGGAAAAAGTAAATAAACTCCGTTCTTCTTTGATATAATAGCGGAAGTAAGTAAACTTTGTAGATCTACAGTTAACCACGAAGACGTGTATTGTATTCGTCAGACGTCCTTTAAAATTGAATAATCGAAAAATATACCGAGCAATTTGCACACTCATTTTAGGTGTCTATGAAAACTTCCTTTCTTTTCCTATAGCTTTTTCATCGCGGTCCATCGCGGCAAATAACTGAAACATTTCCACACACCAGTAGGTAAATTTGCACTTTTTCATTCACTTGTTTTAATAAAATTTTCCTTCAAAACAAAAATTGAAGGCATCAAATACGATGTGTGGATATATATAGTCCGATTGTAACCGACAGTGGTAAACTGGGAGGATTATCCAGGTATAAGGAAGAAGCTTGGTACCGGCTTGCTATCGGGTAAAGCCGCCTTAATACGACCACCCTTTTGTAATACGTCTCTAAATCATCGATTTGTAAAATGAATCAAAAGGCGTGATTTAATCCTCTGAAAGTACGAATCTATCAAATGTCCCCTTATACTTCGACCTCAGAATATTCACGCGAGACTCGTGGGCATACTCACCACATGCAGGAAGTGGGTGTGGAGTCTAAATTGGCGTAAACTTTCTATCATTATTTAGATTGCCCGATAAATTGAAAATGGAGTATATATCAAATAAATAAGGCGCTTTTGATATAGATTTTCACTTAGAAAGCTCTCCGGAAACCATTGACATTCGTTCTCAGTTGAACTGAAAATTTGATGATTCCGGTGATTCTAAGAAATTGTTAAAAAATAGCCTGTAAAGTTCGGGTCGGAAGCCATCTCAGTAACAAAAGAAGCAAGATACGGAGAATCGTCGGGCTCAGGAAACATACATGCATTAGAATGATGGACAAATTCTATGGATAACACTGACAAAAGAATTGTCAAGAAACCGCGGCTGTGTATTAAGAAGAATAAGAAAATGAAATCATATATACTAATCAGTTTTATTTAAGCGTAACAGCTTCAAAGAATTGCCTTTTAACTATGCTCTGACAAACGGATCTCAAATCAACACATCTAGTTTTCACCCCGAATTATTTGTAAGATTTTAACATTCATTTAATGTGCATTACTGATATGGTTAGACGGCACAGTCCAATAAATTTACATCTTCTGATATGTTACTGTACGTGTGTTGTAAATATATGTAAATATAGTAATATATACAAGTAAATATATATACAAATACAAATAAATGCTTATAGTATTTCCACTGTTACTTCATGTTACATTGTGTCTCTGTATGGGTAATCGAATATGTTCTTTTGATGTGCGGGTTTCCCCTCGCGACTACGATTATTATTGTGTTATACATAAATAGTTTTCTTTATCTGAACGAAAAGGTTTCGAACCCAGCGTATCTGTATATACGTGGTACAATGGGTTTGGTGTTTTGCTATATATTCGGCAAGTAAAATTTGCTTGTTTATATAAAGATCTGGTAAATGTGTTTCCAAATTTCTGCACCTTAAAGGAACTATGGGAAGGAAACAAGATTTTTGCAACAACTACGTGTTCTTCGCATCTGAAAAACTATAGTGTAGCTAGTCGCGGTCGTGATTGCGAGTGCATTATCTCTTCCGTGATGACAGCTTGGAGTGCATTTGATATGGTAAAGACGCACTCGTTTCTACACAACATTGTCTGCTCAACGCCAAAGTTGAATCCCAAAATTTTGTGATATCCTGACTTCAAAATGTCTACACTATCCCGTCGTGGAAACGTTTTTTGACAGTATTCCACTCTGCTTTCTTTCGCGGGAATTCCAGAGCGAACTTCGTCGCAAGTCGGTACGACTTCGTCGTACGTCGGTAAGACTTCGTCGACTGGTGGCAAATTGAGTATGTGCGACTCCTTTTGGATCCCGTTATTTTCCCCCCGTATAGTCTGTTTCCCCGGTGGGGTATCTAGTCCATAGTCGTCGGGACGTATAACTGCATTCAGTAATTCGTTCCACGTTCTTTTCGTACGCTCGTGATGAATAGGAGACGTGGGAATTTGAATTTTGACATCTCCACGGCCATATTCGATGTGAGTTGACGAGGCCAGAGGGTATAGTTCTGGAGATTTCATCACTGTAAAAAATATTTGTTGTTTGAGATTTTACAGTAGACGACTGACGATCGCGCCGACCAAAACAATAAAAAAGAGACTGGCGCTGGGCTTAATAACCGTGGGTTATCTATCATTCCAAACTAAATCGACTTAATCAAGTGCACTGGTTCCGGTATAGTGACTTTTATAGAACGTTTTCTATTATTATCCAATTTTTTTAAAGCGGTATAGTCTACTATGACATGTTTTGATAGACCAGATTAATTTACGGCAAGGTTGGCGGTTAACTCTTGACCGATAACTTGAAAATATTTGAAGCATAGTTTCAAACAAGAGAAACATATTTTGAATATATCACATTATGTAATATGACGTCACTTCTCCGCAGTGATGTTTACATGTTTATAGTGAAAAGGAAGTAAAGGAAGTTGTAATTAAAGGAAGAAAGTTCCGAAGTTCATTTTACGCGATCTTTACGATAAAAATAAACTTTTGCGTGAACGTTTGTATCATAGGCCGATCAGTACCATTCAACTGAAAATAACTGTAAATACTTTCCATGCGACGGCTTAGCATTTAGTATGAATCGCGCACGGAAACCAGTATCTCTCGGGTGGTGTAATTGAATAAAACATGTAAGGAAGCATTGTTTTCATATGTTAAAACGTTCAAAACCAAGTGACAATGTCAAACTTGCCCATACCTTGTCTATAAGGAGGTGGTCCCGTCTTCAGAATAAGATCATTTGGATAATCCAAAGCAATTTCCTCGACCGAGCTTGCCTGCGTGCTAGTGTTTTGACTTTCTGGCGTAGAATTTTCCGCCGTGGCTTGTTTTTTAATCCTGAGTTGAAGTAAAACCAGCAGTATTAGGGCTGCTGCGACGGCGATGACAGCCACAACGATAATAAAGATCTCCATCTGAGCCAATTGGATCAGTTCCTCTGATTTGGCTAGATAACGATAGATCGAAATGTCAAAGATAGCAAGGATGACTATCCTATCTCATTCCAAGAATATACGCGACAGTCCAATCTAGCCTATGGTCCAGACATGCATAATGCGATGATACCCGTTGAAAACTTTTTAGCCAATAGATCTGGAATGGTGAGGAACTAATATGATCGAGTTTTGAAACAATAGTGAACAGTGTTCATGGTTCGTTCTTTTGGAAATCAATTTCTATCGTTCATTGTTCTTATTGTTATCATCAACCAGTTGCAAAGCTTGTTCGCCTATATTGGTAGGTATCGACCCGGAAATTGTGATTCAATAGACAATTTGCATTGTCGACTAACAAATTAAATATCAGTTTCGACACAAAGCCGGCTCGCCAAAGTTAGTGTTGAAAAAAAGTTGAAAAGCTTGTGGTGGTAACGATCGAATTGCTGTAGAACGCAAAACCATGACAGGTGACACGTTTTACGAAGCACTTTTATTATTGGTAATATTTGTAAAATTTATTATCTTTCCATATTTTATATTTGAGTTGTGATAAGGGTCAGAGGGTAAGGGTAGTGATTACAGGAATACGGTTAGGATTATATAGATTATAGCATGAAGAAATCAGACTATCCGGCCCTTTCCACAGTAGCGTAATCTGGTTCTTGACATAGGTACGCATGCGTGGGCTCCATGCGTGGGACCCACGCGTGGTTAAAATAGGCAATGCGTGCGAGCAATTCGGGGTATTCCATAAATTCATTTGCATTCGATTCAAGAAATGAAAATTCTTAGTCTGAAACGGACCTAAATATTTGAGGGAAATACCCAACGCGGAAAGTTTCATGTCATACAGAGCTTGACTGACCAATCAAGCTTGCCTTGGTAACATCTGACTTTCCGCGTTTAACGTCATGAAAAAAGTCTATAATGTGTGATTACCACCAAACCCAGATTGTGCCAGGGCAGTGTTTGTGACTTTATATAATCTGTTCTCAGTGGTTGCCTTCGTCATCCAAAACAGTAATACATCCACTGTAAACCGCAGTAGTGACTGTGTGTTAATATAGTTGACTGTGTGGTAATGCATCAGCAATTTCTTTTACAAATATCTTCTGAAGCTTATTTTCTCCTGTATGCGGGAAACGTTTTTTACCGTTTGGTCGTGCACACGGGAATCGCTTTCCTGACTCAAAAGCTCGCTACGTTTATTCAAGGCAGCGTTCATTCACGAGAGGCCGGACTTTGGTTGATAAATAAGGCCAGTATAGATATTTCCCATACTAACTAGCTTGAGACATGGCTCTACGCACGGGACAGACGTTTAAGGTCGTGTTCAACAACTTCATCCGGCTAGACAGCAAATTCGGGAAGTTCGTTGTCTGACTGTATGTTTTTAATCAATCAATAGTTTAACTAAAGTATGAAATAATTCCTTTTTATGAAGCAAAGCTTACTCTCCGTTACTTATGTAATACATTACACATGAGTTACTGATAAGCAGTATCAAGAATTTGTCACTAAGTCGTATAAAAGACTCGTCGAAAAAAGTTACATAAGATCAAAAAATACTGGTAAAGAAATTAAGAGATTTTCAGGCGGTTTCAGAAGCAGAACTGAGAGTTTAAAGTTTGTTTAAAGTGGCTGGTAATCACTACATTGTCATTTGTATTGGGATGAGTTACAAAGTTCACAAATGTTTGTTTTCAGTCCCCAACAACACTCACCTTTATTTATAAAGTTATTAAAAAAGCCAAGGTCTACCTCCGGTAATTATCCCGGCTAATTTCTATCGAATCTCAGTCGACCCACACTGTATATCTTCACACAAGACGACTTGACAAACAGTTCAAAATAAACTCGATCGTGCCCAAATTCATGTAAAGTTAAGCCCGATGACGATATACCAATGAGTATATCTTGACAAAGGAATACACAATGTCAAGTGTACAGGAATAAAGCCAGGAAATGAGAAGAAGCATGCTTTCAAGACGACCACAATATAACCTGTAACTTATAACTTACGTCAGATAGCAACGAGTCATCATACGTGATAAATATCACTGCTATCTCTATTATAGTTCGCTAAATAGGAAGAGGCGATGCATGCACTTGTAATGCCATGGCAACTTATTACCACGCCAAACGCGTTTCGTAATCCCATTCCATTTGAGTTAACACGACAGAGCGACTTTTAGGAAAAAGTCGCAAAACACAAACCAATTACCATTATAAGAAGGAATTGACTCTAGCACTGAATTCTTCACCGATTTTCATAGAAATATGTAGGTGGAATCTTTCCAATGTAGTAAACAGAGAATTATGATTATACTGTATCAAAATTGAAGAATCGCCCGAGGGCAAGTCTTGAAGTACTATACGACTGATCCCGGAAATGTCACTGGACAACACTGAGAAACTATTGCCTACGTCAATAGTGCAAAAGATGAACCCAATATTCTCGCAAGTATATATTATATCAGCTAATAATGTACTAAGTATATTTCAGTTGAGCAATACTAATTTCCACGATATACTATATACATTATACAGCTCAAATTTGGTCACTCGCGCCATGATTGGCTGACAGTGTGGGAACAGTCATATTAACTTACCAGATTTAAAGAAACTGATCTCAATGGATAACTGGACAGCAAAATGTATGGTGATAATATTCAGCACAGATTGATCTCATGAACTCGACAGTCGTCTATGAATACTATATGCTTCATATACTGAGGCCTGAGTTGCCGCTTGAAAACCATGGAAAACATTGTTAGATTATAAGCCGGAGTGCATGTATTGAAATTTTTCGTCAACTTTGGTGAGTTCCCCTCCTCAAGCATTTACAAAGTGATTCGAGTGAAAACGGGGTCAATCCCAAATACTGTAATGGGTTTTTACCTCAACAGAGAGCAATGCCAGATTATTACGATTTTAATATTGAAAAGTAAAAACATGTTATAACTACAAAATATATAAAAAGTAAGGGGTAATTCAGAATTATTTCAGCAGTTTTTATTGCCCCTGGCTACAATGCCCACTCAGTGTATAAACACAATCAAATATATAATATAATATAAGATACATATATATTAGACTTTTTTGGCAATGACACAGAAATAAGTTGGTTTCCGATGAAGAATACCTCCCATATTTCAATGAATATAGACAGGTTGTCTCGAGTTAGGTCATACAGATCTTAATTTTATAATTTAAGTTCCTTTCGAGTTTCGACTCAACTCACTAACTTATATTGGGCACAATCGCTTCCGACATATGAATACGTGAATATATAGCAATATATAATTCTAAGAGATTCGATTTTCTTTTGATAGAGAAATTACGGTAATGAGTTAGTGTTCTACTGCATTAATTTCTCTCCATTATTAGTCTATCCTACAATCTGAATACCATGCATGCATGCGATCTGACCGCATGTTTACATACAGTAGCTTATAATATTGTACTTTGTTCAGCCGGAAAAGGAGAGTCTCGGATTTTAGAAGAATATGACCATCCATGGATCGACAGAACTGAATGTGGTAAATTCGATCATAACATATAAATTCTCCTACTTAAAATAATTATCAATGAATTGTTGAATTCGGCAAATATATACCAGCTATGATATTCGCCGTATCTTAGCATGAAAAATATGTTCTTTTCAAGAATATAATTGAAACCTGTCCTTTTTTGACATTCGTAAATACGGACATTAATCAAAGTGCCTCTTCTTTGATACAAAGAGCTCATTCGTTTGGTAAATAGCATCTATGACTATTGACATGGTCACAGACTTACAGCTAGTGATCTTTCGAGAAACATAAATAAAATAAATAATAAATAATAGATAATTTTTAGCTATGAAGTTTTGAAATGTAAAATATCGATGGTCATATATTTATCCCGGTAAAACAGTTTAATTAATTGATATACATAATAGCTACATTAGAAATATGTTTATAGTTAATATAGGTCTGTACTGATATATGTTTCTTTGCACGGGCTTGCGAATAACATGTTTATAGATAGCTATATCGGTGATATAGAGAGATATTGTCTTCTGAACGGGGCGAGACACAAAGATCTTTGACTTAACTAATGAAATATATGCATGCATGGCGGGAATGTTTTGAAAGAATATTTGAACGAGTGAATGAATACAATGATTGTGCTGAAGCAAAGAACAAGGAGTCTTTTAAATTGTTTACTTGGAGCTCTTGAGCTACAGCGTGTTTTATGTTAAGAGCTATCTTTGCACAAACCACAACAAGGAGCCGACATTTCTAATCATTTTGACAATAAAAATGTAAGAAATCACTCAAGGTGATTTTATTATTACCAATGTTATTATAAAATGCAATATACTATGACTCTTATTTTTCGGTTTAAAACCATGCATTCATGGCATAGTCTACGAAGTAGCTATATACCTATACATTTTATACGTCATTTAACGTGCACATGCATGGCATGGAATTTCACCCACATGCAGGCTTGAGCTTCCTGTTATATGAAGTTTTAATCTAACTTCATTTTTTATAGTATACATTATATCTACAGCATTGCCAAGGCTTTATCGTTTCAAATCATGCAAAATCATAGGAAAGCTAGTAACAGATAAGGTATAGCTATATACCGTCTTGCCGATTCAAACTTGGACTTTGGACATATGGCCTACGCTAGCTCTTAATTTGCATGTATCCCCCTATATTCTGCATGTCATTACATCATAAGGGGTGAAAGAATTGATCCATAATCTAAAATATCGCGTGTATATTTGTATATTAGCATCTTATGCAGAAACGATTAGAGAGTGCATGATGTATAGAACTAAACTTTCAGGCAGAATACCGGAGTGGTTTTATATTTCTCTAATAAAACTAAAACTTTGAAAGCTCTATCTACAGCAATAGGCGTTATATATAGCAACAAAGTATTGCTGAAGCTAATTTAGACGCTCTTTGATTTCATTTTGCTTTCATCGTATTTCGACAAATTACCTTTA